GTAGATTCTATGAAGAGATCCTACATGTCCCAGATCATGGTTTATTTTCTATCATAACTGATAGAGGAGGTCAATCCCAGCAGTTTACAGAACTCGGAATTAAACGTATTCTCACGATATCCCAACATCCGATGGCAAACAGTATGGTTGAACGCCGGCACAGACAGTTAAAAGCGTCTCTTAAGACTGTAATTGTCAACAACGATTGGACTAATAAGCCTACTCTAATCATGTTGAATTTAAGAACAACAATTAAACAGGATATTGGATGTTATCCAGCAGAGTTGGTATATGGAACTACTCTACTACTACTACCCGAAGAATTTTTCGCTTCAGGTAAAAGTGTTCCAACTGATGTAGCCAATTACGTGCAACGCCTGAAGAAGCGCATGAACGATCTAAAGATAACACTTCCCAGATTACAACAATGACGAGTGTCCGTACCGCAAGAACTACATAATAGCACTCACGTATTTATTAGGAGAAATAATGTACATCCACCTTTCAGTCGAAGTATGACAGTCCATTTAAAGTGATTACGAGGACAGATAAGACAGTTACCGTAGGAAAAGTTAGAAAGGCAAATGTAATCAACACCGACTGAGTGAAACCAGCTTTCATCGATAACGATCTTCAATCGACAAGTACAGAACCCTAGAAAAGGGTCACACAAAACGAAACAGAATCATCGATGCTAACAAAGCAAAATGAGGAGACTCTGGTAACGACGAGATTCGGCCACAGATTAAGATGGTCGCAACTCTACGTCGCTACAATTTTAAATTGATAATTTCCCACTATTTTGAATAGTAATTATAATTCTTCCCTTTTATTGTGTACATACAGAGTATTAAGCTCATGATATACACTGTAAAACTCGGCATATCTTGTGTACCCTTATATGTATAATTTTTTTAAAATGATACCACATTCCTTTTATTTCTTACTGGTATTTTATATAACTTCAGGGACAGGAACGAACCAGCTACACAGCACATATTAGCTTCATCCAGATTTTATGTAAGGCGTTATCTTCAAACGATCGTAATTATTCTATCCGGTTTACCATTCTTTGTGCAAACACAGACATTTTTTCATATATCTGTCTGCAGGAGAGTTATTATAGCAACTATCCGACAGCCTATTTCGATTACGGTCAAGCCCTTTTATTAACTTAACAGACAATGTTATTCGAACAGTAACAATTCTCATATTTCTTTGTACCGTTATGATCACTAAAGCACAATGATACACTCTAGCTAAAATGTTGATTACTTAAATATCACTCCCTGATTCATCCTCCTCCCTACTTATATATGTACTCAAATTCTATTGTTAGTCCCTGCTTTTCCTTGCTGCGCCCTTATGCAGTTTGACTATAAGTTTGACTATGTAGTTGGTCGTATATGCTCATTCGCCTCTCCGCTTCAAAATTGCTTGATGTGCTTATAGCTTTGTGATCTGCGCTATCCGCTAATAAACTGTAGTTGCCGTTTCTCATTGCCTTCTGATTTCAAAAACTGTTGATGTTTATGTGACAACGGTTATCGAGGTGATTGACTAACGAAGCAAAGCCACTATCAAGTTTTGAAATACAGTTATTATACAAAATTCTAAAAATTTTTAATAAATATTAATGCTTGACCAAAGCAAGAACAATTAACGTATCAGAATAACACGAATTCTTCTTCCGATATATATTCTTTGGGGCGTACATGTAGACTGGTAGACATAATTGGAGGTAACATAAGGCGGGAATTTGTTCACGCATAACTACGTTAATGAGCAAGTCGTTTGATACAGAGAGACCAGTTTGGCAGCTGGATACGTACATTTTATTATGGCCTTTAATATGAAATCAATCCTTCTAGCTATTTCATAACTTATGAAACCCATTCCTAGGAAGACAGGCTGCTTCTCCACTTTACCATGCTCCATCTCCGCTTTAGTCTTCCTATACTTGGTCATGAATTTTTGAGGGTAAATACTATCACATGACGTTCAATTACGGCTAATTGTCCATGAATTTTGTCCTCTGACACGACTGAAAAGCGTTCTAATCAAGGACATCTCGTAGCTTATTGTACAGAAGTTTAAATATATTCCGCTCCATTTGTCCTTGCAACAAATATCTCTCCATTACACTATTTGTATTACGATTCATACCAAGGTCTAGAAAACGGAACACGTTATCATGTCCATATTCCACTATAAATCTTATATTCGCGTGTGCCATATTGAGAATTTTCAGTTTATGAGAAGCGTGCTAACAACCATCACAGGCCATAAATATATTATGAAAATACCTGAAGTGAAGATTTGTATCACTGATTACCGATTTCATTACTGTCTGCCCTAGGTTTCCTATAAAGATATCTGCCAGAATTAGACTCAGTGGTCGAACCATAGTCACTCCATTATTCTGAAAATGTAAGACGTTACAGAATTGAAACTGAATATTGTTGTCTTTAAGCCCCGCTAATTATCACGTGACTTATTTTCCAATCAGAATACAATCTTAGCACTGTGCCAAACCAACGACGTATCGACCAGTATAAGCAGCTTAGCCCTACCAGTTAAGTCCAGAACACCAATACCAGCTTCCAATATACGAATCGTTTATTTCAAATATACTTGGTTTATATACAAGCCAAACGAACCACATCACATCATAAAATAGGAAATAACATTTGTACAAGATTAAGCGAAAAAGTGGCTGTGATTGCGGGAGACTTTAATTAACAAATTGAGCATAATTTAAGAATATTAAATCGTATCATAATAGTCTATAGGTCAAAATAAAGCTTATAATAAGAGGAATACAGATATACGTAATTTAGTTTCTGAATAGTTACATAATAAGAATATACGTATAATATTAGTCCATAAATAGTTCTCAGAAGTTAACTATAACTTAATCCTCACTAGGATATAACAAATATCTTTAGTAAGAGCTGCTTGAATTCATTTTTTGGTAGGGAGAGTAGATCAGCCTATTGACATTTTATTAGCACGGTTTCTTCCAGTGGACTGTGGTAAATAATGATAATACATTAAAGGAAAACATGTATTAGAAACGTCAACTTTTTCTAGTATTTAAGTAAACTGAAAGGTGTCTTTTAAACTATAGACAGAAAACTTTTAACAGATCTGTCCCAACTTACTGATAAACGAGCGAGCTTCTGAAACGAAGCATTAATCACTGATAATATTGATCTGTAGGGCCTTAAGTAACTGATCAGAAATCGCGAAATATGTTGAATTCATGTTATTTTGTTACGTTAATAGTTCTTATTTAGTCGAATTCACCAATAGGAAAAATTGTACGGAACCTTAATTTTACCTGCTACATAAACATGCTATTTAAGTTTTGCGTTCACGTTCCTAATTTAATAACACTATCAATAGTAAAAGAAATTCTTTTCTTTATTCCTTAAAGAATTTAACTTCCTCCGTGTGATTTTTTGAACTGTGACAATCACCCATGAGTAAACAGACCGAAAAACGTGGACAATCCATATCAGGAATTAAGCTCTTTTTAGTTTAATAATTTTGAAATCAAACGTTCATCTTAGCTGACTAAAACTAGATATAATTTCCATGTTAAATATAAAACAAACAAATGCATAAATTAGAGCGCCATAATAGTATTCAGGTATAAAATTTCGTTGAACTGATTAAAAAGAAAACCAATCAAATGGTTTTTAATGAAATAAAAGTTTTTGTTTTCTAAAAAAATATGACCTCATGTTGATCAGTTCCTACCAACTGGCACGAAGTTATAGAAGATGAACGAAAGTTACATGTTGATTATGTAATGATATTTATTATCAATCAATATTATTTTATTTCGTTAAAACTTTCAATGTATTCACCACAAAATTCAATTCTTTCTGTAAAAAATTAGATTAACTACCAACTTCCTCGAAAATCACCAAACATAACTGATATAAATTACTCTACTTAATTCCGATTTTCGTAGATATTTATGTAGTTCCAAGATGATTATTATCATGATGTAGCTTTGGTTAGAGAAGGATTGAATACGAAAAAATACTAGACACCTGTTTAGTTCAAGTCTTGGTTTCCAACCGAACTTCACATGATTGTATTTTCGGTAGTTTCTAGCCACGAAAATCAGGATACACTTTTCGTCCAATTTAAGACAACTCAATATTGATATTTACATTAAGACGTGAACTTACTTGATGATCATTAACGTAGAAACTGGAATGAATTCATAACGAATTGGAATTGCCACACTCACATCAATACAATAAAAGAGGAAAGTGACAACGAAAAAAGTTAACAAGATATAATACTAACTATATCTTGAATCCAGTACTCAGGTTGATTACATTTTGTGTAATATACAAACAACATAAAAATGACAATAAAATAACTTCCCAGTTATTTGGAAAGAGCACATATGCATATGCATAACCATTAATTAATTCTACCCAACCAATTAAATTGATCATTTACAACAATCAAGATAAAACAAATATATAAAAAAACAATCAAAGCCACACTAATGTCCTCTATACATACAAATGTATTACATATATACAATGGAAATAAAAGTTCTAAATAAGACTGATAACAAACAGAAGAAAGAGGAATTAAATTTTTGGAAATAAAACAGACATGATAAATATGATTTCTACAATTATACAACACAAGATCATCTCTACACATAAATTGATATTCTCCCTCATTATAAACAAATGGATTATTTGACTTACTGTGAAAAGATAAAACACTTATAAGAAAGTAAGAGAATAATGATAACAATTGTTTGGCTAACTTCATTGGTTAAAAGTATTTACAATATGTGTAGTCAAAGATGTGCAGTGTATGTGTGTGTGAAAGTGAGAGAAAAAAAGGTTAAATAGTCAACTAGTTGATAACTCTTAAACAGTATCTGACCGTCTTAGCAGACAGTAGGACAAGATAAATCTAGTTATGACTTTTTTTTCGAATATAACTAGAAAAAGGTATTAAGTACATGAATAAGTTCGAGATAATTTTGAAGAAAAAGACTTAGCAGTATTAGTACTAGCTGAAGAAGTTGGCAATGTTGAAGAGGAAGAAATGAATGAATGAAATTTATTATAGTTTAATTCAAAACATGATAAACTTCGATTTGGTTGAAAAAGTAAATGATGATGATTTAATGAGGATCGTGTTTCTTTTACATGATTACTAGTTGGTGATGGTTTCTCCTCGATAACTAATCCTAGAATGACGGTTATGTCACCAGGGACTCCACCTTGAAAAAATGACAAGTGTAAAATAGTGGTTGAATGTTAACATAAATTTACAATATTGAATAGATTTCATTACATTAATGAAAATACTTAATGTCACAGAATAACTTGATAGTTGATACACTTTGATATATTTTACATGCATATATGCCAAAAAAGACTGATCAATTGCAGTCCTTAACATCAATGGGAAGATTTAGACAACCAGTACGAATGAATTAAACATACTCCATTACACAAACTGGATTCGATAGCTCATTGGATAACGCGATGAAATTTAAGCGAATGGTACTAGGTTCGAGTCTCGAAGTGAACACAAGCTCTAAGACGCAACTATACCCAGCTGACCGGTCCTAAAAAGGACAAAACGTGCGTCTTGAATTCCATTGCTAATCACTTTCTACGTCTGCTTATCGCCATAAATAGTTGTATCAAATACATCACATGCACTGAGGCTTAAAGTGTTGAGCGGGTAATAATTATAAAATCGATACTGCTTGTTTGACAACGGGAATGGAATAATGGGCACAGTAGGTTTACCTGAAGATTTAAAAAATTCAAATTTTGGAAGAGCTATACGTATATATCTCAGTATTTTGATGGAAAAGTAGCATATGAAGGCTTAATAAGCATACCAGTTATTTGAAGTTCAATTTAGATTAATTTATTGGATGAGAATAAAAATCATTTATGAACCTACATGTTATTTAAAGGCCGATAACAGTTAGTAATGAAATCATTCTAATTTGTTTTGGCGCAATGGGAAGCGCATTCGACCACCAATGGAGTTGACTGGCGCTGGTTGGTGAACTAAGCCCGCCCAGATCGATTCGAAGGGAACCGCAAGCCAATCCAATCGAGAGCATCCACAATGTTCACCTCGTCAATATAGTCGACAGAGGCTCATTCCTTTAAATTTTATCTCCAAATGCCCATATATGGCCGAGGGTGTAGAGAGTCAGCTCTCTTTCTCTAAATGCTTTCACATGGCCACGTACATACAACAAATGCCAGGAAATTCCTACTCACTGCCTTCTCGTGGCGGGGGCGTTGTTTAGGAAGTTGAGAGAACGAAAAGCGAATGTTCGGTGCTTTAACCGGCTTGGTGAATACGGAGGATCTACCTAGGGGAGTTGGGAAACCCTGGTTCCAAACCAATGGTGCACATGGGCTCCAGGGTCCTGAGGAAACAAATGGCGTATGAGCTAATTGTTGGTCGCCCGCTACCGTGGTACTACATCTAACGCTGCTCCACTGCCTTGCAGATTAGACCTCTATGTCAGAGGCTTAGGGTGTGATGCACCCGAAAAACCACCTGTTCCAATTTGGACATCCGAGCAGTATTTCAGCCCTCACACAAATAGAATGATTTGTTTGGCGCATATGTATTTGGTGAGTCCTTGTACCAACGTTTGTGTCTAAATAATCAAATCGTAATTACTACCGGAAAAATTACTTTTGCTTCAACAATCATTCAGAGAAATCATATCCACAATCATTTGGTAATATTCGTTTTTGAATTGTTGAGATCATGAGTCAATTGAAGCTAGACCACCATGGAAAACCTGAAAGCACTGGACGGCCGTTTCGTCCTATTGTGGGACCCCTCAGCAGTGCGCATCCACGATCCCGCCTCGCATCATTCGAGCCCAGGACCTACTGGTCTTGTGCGTGGGCACTTAACCACTAGACCCTTGAGCCGGCATCCAACGGTGTTAATGTCTAACTTCAACTAACCCACGAAATTGAGCGACACATCCACCACTGTCATCAGTGAGTCGCTATCTCACAACTGACCTGGTTGAACTCCACTGGTCACTGCTTCTCACTAGAACTCCAGGATATATATTTTGAAGCCAGTCACTAGTGAGCATATGTTGATTAATATCAGAAGGGGGTTTTGTGGAGATTTTAGTAATTTGAATTGTTGAGATCATGAGTCAATTTCTCTTATACTACGTCACTTATCTACTCCATTTTACTTTCATTTGATGTATTCTGTCTTTCAACTTATACAGCAGCTCGCCTATGGTGAAAACCCTATCCTATTTAAACGACATCAAGTTACTGATTGGTCGAGAGTTGAATGCTTCTATCGACTACGAATACTAAATCAGTCTTTCTGAAACCACGTATATCATTCAAACTGGCCTTTTTCAACGTTCGCACACTAAAATAGATCGGACAACAGATAGGGTTGACTGTGTCTCTAAAAAATCGCAACATCAACGTCTGTTGTCTATCTGAGAATCTTATTCAAGACTCTAGTGAAGTACTACAAACTCGCTCTCCATCCGCCGATTATATAAGCTTGTTCCCCGAGTAATTATTGGGGGGGGGCTGTGTGGCATCTTTACCTGGTTTTGCTGGCGTTCATGTCGCATTAAACGCTAGAGCTGAGGCAACACTAATCGCCTGGATCCATATTAACAATCGACTATGTGATGTTAGATTAGAAAGCTCAATCAAAGTTCGAAGAAATCAGTGTGAGAAACGATGTGTTTTCGTCATATCCGCTTACACTCCAACAGACTGTAGTCCGGATGTAATCAAAGATGAGTCTGACCACCAGTTAAGTGTTCTATAAAACGTGCGTTCGATAGATATTGAAGTACTACCCGAAGACTTGATAGTACAGGTCAGGAGTCTAGGCACGGAAGAGAGTCGTTCGGGTGGCCAATGGAGTCTTGTTGATCGCAGGTTAGATAACAATGACCGTTTACTGCAACTTTGCGCAGACTACAACTTGTTTCTGGTTGACGCTAACTATCGTCACAGTTATCACCGATGCGCTACCTGGATTCCTACCTCTGCATCTCAAACCTGGACTTAGATTGATCACATCGTGATCGGCTACCTTTGGTGTAGTTGTATACAAGACTGCCGCTCCTTTCGGAGTAGTTACCTGGACTCTGACCATGCCCTTCTTTGTGCTAATCTTTTCTTAAGTTTCAGTGGGCAACAGATCTATCGCCCTAAAGGTCGATATCAGTGAAATAGGTGCAGCTTCTATTAAAACTAAATATCAAACCGAGCTAGGCTCAAGGCTGGCTATCAATCCACCGAAAAGTATAGATGAGCACTGACTGTAGTTACGTCTCACTTACAAGCTCTGAATTTCTATAGACTCCTTACAACTCATTGAAGTATGTTGATCTACTCTGGGTGGTCGGTTACGACTAATCAACCTAAAGAGGCGAAATTCCGCAAGGAACTCCTACTCTTCAAGTACCACAAAGCACTAGACCCAAAAGACTTGCTTCCGATCCCTTCTAAAGACGATGGTGACCTTCTGGTTAAGGAACTGACTTGTTTATAGATAACTAGCGGCTAGAGAGTGTTCTAATGTCGTGGAATTAGCCGGTAGTTGTCCCTAGTTTTAAAAAGGGTTCACCTCATTTCTGCAGCAACTATCACGCGATAAGTCTACTATTATTGGCTTCCGTCATATTTCGTAGATTGTTCAAAAACCGGGAAACAATGACTTGTGAGGAGTAGGTTGGTTCCCGTTCCAGTTGAGGATGAATTGATTGTATATTCACAATCTGTAGAATGTTTGGACACAATCACACTTGTTGCAGGCCAGCAATTGTGGTGTTTCTTGACATTAGGGTCGCCTTCCACTCGTTGAACAGGACTGTCCTCTGGGATATTCTACTGAAGGAGGGTATGCCTCAGAAATTTATTAACATCTTGAAGGTCTTTTATACAAACACCTCAGGCAGAGTGAGGGCATACAACCACCTCTCTTCATTTTTTCATTCAACCAGTGGAGTTAGACACGGTTTCGCAGTTTCACCACTTTTCTGCAACTTTGCCATCGATGACGTTATGAAAACAGCTCTGATGGATGTAGGTAATGGTAGTGTGGATCAGTTGCCTGGAGAAAGACTTTTCAACCTTGAGTATGTGAATGATACTGTCTTACTGTGAGATGTTATCCACGCCATGCAATCTGCACTTAGTCACTTGGCAATCAGTGTCCGCAGATATGACATGTGCTTCGCACCTCCGAAGTGAAAGTACTTCTAAAACACTGACAGAACCCAGGTCATGCACTCACCCTGGGTAGTGAGCGGATAGAACTCGAGAAGTTGGTGTATCTAGGTAGCTGCATAAGTGCTGATCGTGGCGTGAGTGATGAAATCAATGCACGTATAGTGAAAGCCAGAGCGGCTTATGCCAATCTGGGCCATCTTTGGCGCCTTCGTGATATTAGTCTGGCTGTGAAAGGCCAGATCTACAACGCATCGGTGAGAGCAGTTTTGCTCTATGCTTGTGAAACTTGGCCTCTCTGAGAGTCGAGTATGTTAAGCGATTCTCTGTGTTTGATCATCGTTGTCTCCGAAGGATTTCTGACATCCAGTGGCAACACCATGTTAGCACCGCAGTGTGTCCGGGCACAGCAACGATAATTCAGATGGTGTAACCATCTTGGAACACCCACTTTGATGGCTTGGACATGCCTTATGAATGTCAACCAGCCAATTCCACATATGTTGCCTCTTCGCGACTCCCTGGTTGGGGACCTAGATAAAGTGCAACACAGTGGATTGAGTCGTTATCAGACATAGGTCAGAATAGAAGCCATTGAAGATCCTGCTGTAACTTTATTTTAATTTCCTCATAACAGTGAGAGTAAATTCTTTAACTGAAAGAATTCTTACTGGTTGCATTTTTAATAACTGAACTTATTGATTATTTAGACAAACGTTGGTACAAGGACTCACCAAATACATATGCGCCAAACAAATCATTCTATTTGTGTGAGGGCTGAAATACTGCTCGGATGTCCAAATTGGAACAGGTGGTTTTTCGGGTGCATCACACCCTAAGCCTCTGACATAGAGGTCTAATCTGCAAGGCAGTGGAGCAGCGTTAGATGTAGTAACACGGTAGCGGGCGACCAACAATTAGCTCATACGCCATTTGTTTCCTCAGGACCCTGGAGCCCATGTGCACCATTGGTTTGGAACCAGGGTTTCCCAACTCCCCTAGGTAGATCCTCCGTATTCACCAAGCCGGTTAAAGCACCGAACATTCGCTTTTCGTTCTCTCAACTTCCTAAACAACGCCCCCGCCACGAGAAGGCAGTGAGTAGGAATTTCCTGGCATTTGTTGTATGTACGTGGCCATGTGAAAGCATTTAGAGAAAGAGAGCTGACTCTCTACACCCTCGGCCATATATGGGCATTTGGGCGCACTAACTGAACTGCTGCTCCCATTATTATCAATAACATTATTCACCTCTCACACTTATTTCTGTTTATTGTTCTTCTTTTGTATTATACGCACTTTATATTCTCTATCTCTGCATAACCTGATTGTTATTTTGTGGCACATATTTATTTGGTGCCCTCTTATTCCAATGTTTATGTGTTCAAACAAATAATAGGACTCTTAGATACCTGGCATACATTATATACCCAGATTTCTTCTTTGGATAAAAAGTGACCAACGTAGTTTGTAAACCCAATCAAGAATTTTAGGTATGCATTATTTATTTGCATATGGTTTATGATTGGTAATCTGATCACGTCATTTGTTAAGTGCTTACATCGAGTCAAAAACCATCAGAAGTGGGACAGTTACCTATTGATAATGCGCTAAAACGAGAACTACCAACTGAAATTGGTAATGTGAACCATCAAAAACTAGCTCATTAATCCAAAAGAAACACACACCACTTGAGGCTAACAGAACTTGAGTCTGATCCTTGAAAAATTTGTAGGTGTGTACTGTTGAGTTATAAACTCAGTCAGCCATAAACAACGTAGAACCTTGTACATTTATGTGTTGGTTCAAAAACGAACTGATGCGTCGTATACTCGTCTTCTGGTTGATGAATGGACATCTTGCCTATATCGTATGCGTTGCAAGTAGGCGAAAATCAACCGAGCTTTCTGAGATCGAGTCCCAAAGTTATAACGTAGGACAAGATGGATGTTTTCAGTTCTTTCTGTTTCGTATTGGTTACTTAACAACTAAGGTTAGCTCGTGACGTAAACTATTACAAAATGTAACGCATCTCTACAACCATTCAGTTAAACAAAAATGATAAGCTTTAGAAGACAATCTTATTTCACTGTTTCTATTCCAGGTACATAGGAAACACTGTAACCAATTTTTTGAAAGACAAATTGTTGACATACTTAGAAATAAGAACCATTTGATGAAATGTCAGGAGGTCTATAATCACCATGAAAACTTCAGGTTTCGAAATAATTGGTCAAATATTTTAACATTAACTTTAATTGCTATGTGATCTGCATTTATCAAATACATAGAAGTATTAATATGTAGTAGGCTCCAGATGAAATCTACCACACAGAATAATATAATCATTGTAAAGAAATGAACAATAGACAGAATAACTGGGAGAGTAGCAGTTACACAAAGTACTCCTCAAGAAGTCATCATTACCGTTTGTTATATGTTAACTGACTTCAAATCTGTGAAATGAGCATACCAAGCTTAGTCACTATAATGGAAAATATATAATACACATAATATACTCAGTTACTAATTTATCAAATATAAATTTGTGTACTCTTCCTTAATTTCAAGTGTTAAGGTTGGCGATGGAGTCAAATTCCTTCATCTTCTAATGTGTACAAAAAAACTAACGAATCAATGGTAGAAAAAAATAAACTTCAATTTGATAAGAACAGAAATTAATTCCAACTGACCCGCAATGTTTATACCGTAACGACGTGCTTCACTAGCGAATGGAGAAACGAAATCAGGAGCGAACGCCGCACTCCGAGCTTGCTCTACAAGACGTGTAGCACATTGTTTTAAACTATCAATTGTACAGTTTGCAAGTAACTGGAAAGTAGTAATGGAGAGAAAATACAGTTGGGAAACCTGTTTATTATGTATCTTTTTAAACTCTTACTTTCTATCCGACAAATAATCATAAAATAAATTTCCGAATTTTACATTGACTTCGACATAAAAGATAAATTTAAACATTATTCACATTCAAAGCTACTTAAGATATATATTAACAGTCTAGGGAAGAAGTTTCACTGATATCATAGCAACAACTGATGGAGAAAAACCGTTATTGTAAGTCAAGTGAAAAATTTCAATGAAAATCAGGTTCAAAATCTAAACTTAAACAAAATTCTAAAACCAGTTTATGTTATGTAAACTGAATTTTTATTTTGTTGATGAGTATATATGATCCTGGTCTATCGCCACAACAATGTGAAATAAATACCATACAATGGTGGTAATTGTTCAAGAAAAGCTGAAATAATGGTGGGTCAACTAAAGTAATTCCCTTACGATTAATCTTGTCAAGCCCTTCAATTAACTCATTTAACACACAGTACTCCAAGAACACTGTACGGTTTGGATTCGAGATAATACCTTAGATTTCGTTTATCAATCGCCATGATAACCGTTATTAAATAAATCCCAACGGTGTAAGAATTCAGAAGGAAACAATTTATTATTGGACAACACAGATAACCAAGTTACAAGTACATCGAGCGAATTGGAGCAGAGAGGCGAGTACGCGCGAGCAAGCGGATACGGAGGCAGATTCGGAGTCAAATCGAACCAAGGCGAAGCGAAGCACGGCAAGGCAGCCATTCAGTCAGTAACAACGTAGAACTTCGTACGTACGTACATCAGTTCGAGTTGCCACACCACATTAGCACAGAGATGCAGTGGTCGATTCAAATCCCGTAGTGGTAGAGGTAATAAGAGTATAAGCAGTAATCGGGAAAATCAGTGTTTGGATATGTTATTTAAAGAGTATAATCCAGTGAAATAAATTTGAGGAGAGAAAAAAAAAGAGACAAGGAGGAATAAGGAGATCAAAATTTGGGAGAACACAAAGAGTGTATGCACCTGCGCCATTGCAAACGATTTTGAACCATGTCATTCAGGGTCTTTAAACATCGGTTGCTATCATCTCGCGGTCCCCAGCCAGGTAGTCTACACCTACTAACATGGCTCAGTCTACTTGCCTATCGTAATGACCCAACCAAGCTATGTTGGCTGGAACATATGTTCCCGTAGGTTCTACCATGCTAGGCAGGTCGATTGGAGAACTGTAAGACTAAAAGCAGCAACTCAAGGTCTGAGGGCGAAGTCGTACTGCTGACTGTAGAGGGGTGTGACAGCAGTAAGGTGTTTCCCTCGGACAACCGGCATGACAGCGATGCTGCTTTCCCACAAGGAGAGGTGGGGTTAGAAAAGGTCGACCCTAAAAATGTCACACCTCACCTTACCTCACGGATTTCCGTCTCCGGAGGTAAGGCCCTTTGAAGAACGGAGCTAACACCTTAAAAACCTTCCACGAAAAGGCCGTGCGCGCCTACGCCATAAATGACGCAAGTTGGTAAAAGCTAGTCGAGCCTTCTGTATCCGTGCTGAGATTTCGTCACACACCAGACCACAGGGGCTGATGAGACTTCCAAAATAAGTGAAGCGGTCGACAAGATCGACTACTCCACTCTCTATCATTAGTTCGGACTTCAATGCAACCCAATCCTGAAGCAACATTTTGCATTTCGAGGGGGAGAATAGCATCCCGAACATGCTACACGGCAAGGCAATTAATAAGATTCTAGCACATATATATGGGAAGTAAAATGGTTCATCGAGAGATATTTAAGTGATTAACACTTAAGGTAGAGTGAAGAATAGGTGTGTAGGCTGTCACATGTGACCAAGTATACACGTTTATACAGACATGATCGTGATCATAATAATATAATGAAATATACGAACTGTTACTGTTCGAATAACACTGTCTGTTAAATAAGTCAATTAAGCGTAATCAAAATTAATTGTAACGGAGTTGCTATAACAATATCAATTTCTGTCAATTTCCAGTGGCTACAACCACAATTTTATATGCATCGATAAATTCACGCGATGGCCTGTAGCGGTACCGATAAAGGGTGCCTTAGCCGAGTTTGTTACCAAAGCCTCAATCGAGAATTGGACTTCTTGTTATGAAGTGCCAGAGATTATCACAACTGATGAAGGAGCTCGACTCGAAAGTCGCCTTTTCCAGTAGTTTACAGAACTCGGAATTAAACGTATTCGCACGATATTCTAACATCCGATGGCAAACGGTATGCTTGAACGCCGGCACAGACAGTTAAAAGCGTCTCTTATAACTGTCATTGTCAATAACGATTGGGCTAATAAGCTTACTCTAATCATGTTGGGTTTAAGAACAACAATTAAACAGGATATTGGATGTTGTTAAGCAAAGTTGGCGTATGGAGCTACGCTACGTTTACTGCATAATAACACTCATTTGTTCATTAGAAGAGATAACGTACAACCACCTTGGCAGCCGAACTATGATGGTCCATTTAAAGTGATTACGAGGACAGATAAAACAGCTACCATAGAAAAAGCTGGAAAGGTAGATGAAATCAGCATAGACCGACAATGAGAACGATAGGGATATATACTTTGGGAACGATTTGGAGTTTCAAATGTACGGCATAGTAACTACCAGGTGAAGTACGTATACATATAAAAAGACCAAAACTACCCAAAATTCTAAATTACAATTTAATATAATAGTCGATAACTACGCACTAATGTAATGTTTTATACTAACTGTTTACTTGTTTCTACAGAATGAAGTTAGCACATGTGAAAATTTAAGAGGACCTATGATAAGATAATCACGTGTGTATATAAAGTGTGAACACAATCAAAGTAGGTTTTGTAAGAAAACAGACCTCATAGTAAGAATCAAGCATTTTATGACCCATAAACGATGGAGAATATAAGTTTAAACACTATTTAGGAACACTCTAGACCATTCTGAAGATATTAGAAACAATATCATCAGAAATCAGCATATCTATAGAAAAAAATTCGTGAGTGAATAACATTGAGTTATCGATAACTATTCATAAAGTTAACACTGAATTTCAAAGCCCCAAGCATTAGTTTACTGGTTTACACCTCAACCCTGTTCGATTTATGTAGCCAACAAAATGTTAGATACAAGTACATGTAATTATTTTGTTATTTCAAAAGATAACTCATACTGTCCCCATAATGAAATTCCGATAACATGCGGCTTCTTTTAATGGTTAGATGGGTGGAAAAACCTAACAAGTTGAAGGAAATACTTCAATGAGATAATTTTGAACCTTTTCTAAAGTTTTTATTCTATTCACAACCACTGTTATTCAATATAGAGTGTGATCAACTATACAATTATACGACGAGCCCTTTTGTCGGAGATTGAATAATTACCTAGTGATTGTGTCACAACGGTTATAGCCAAACATTAGAAACAATATATGGTAGTGTTCACATCAATAAAAAATTGACTAATATCCTGACATTCCCTAAAAATTGTTCACAGTTTTTTATATTAAAAATATTCGATTTCCTTCCAATCAACAATATGAGTCTGGAAACTTCTGACGGCTTTCAAACACTTATGTGAAGGCCAAATTTCTCATTTATCTTCAAATGAAGTTGATAAATTTTTCCAAACAAATACACACAGCTTACCTCAATGGTTTTTACCTCTTGTAATATCATTGATTCTGTCAAATTATCGAACAAGCCATCTGTGCCTACGATAATTACGTCACCCGGTTTGACTTCTACAGATGTTTGAGCAGCTTGATTAGGTCTATAAAATATTTTAATACATATAATTTACTATAGAAGTACTTAAATTATCAAAAGCATTGACAAATCGGTAATGACAGCATAGTAACTAAAAAACAAGACAAGAAACAAATTTTGGGTAGGAAATATCACCATGATATTTAGGAATGATAATATCAATGATAATTAAGCACTGAATAGCTTTTTTACATGATTAAAACGATTTTCAGATCAAGCAAATACCGGATATTATTTCTGAACCCGTTAGGAGTTTTGCACTCACAAAGAAATAAGTTCACTTAGTAAAGGATCCCATTTTATTTACAATCACCGGTCTATATTAGTCAATTTGTTCACTATATATTTTCCTCGATAGTCATTTCCGTTTCGATATTATTCTAACATTTGGAAATACTTAACATCCAATGGAACCAAATTTATGGTTTTAAAAAGTTGCACAAGACCAAATTATTCTTGAACAATGTAGTACAATTCAGATTAGACTAGACAAATTTATTTCGAAAGGCTCGGTATACTAGCAATGTAACTAAACCAAACTTAAATTGTTTCTTTTTATTTACTATAATCCCGACCGTTGTTGCTACCTTGACGTGGTGGTCGGGCTTGCCTATCGTGATGAAGCAACCGAGCTATACTGGCTGGAACAACCGTTCCTCAAGGTCCTACCATGTCAGACAGGTTGGTTGAAGAGCGGTAAGACTAAAAGCAACAAACCCAAGGTCCGAAGGCGAAGTCGTACTGCTGACTGTACAGAGGTGTGACAGCAGTAAGGTGTTTCCTTCAGACAACCAGCATGACAGCGATGCTGCCTTCCCACAAGGAGGGGTGGGGTTAGAAAAGGTCGACCCTAAAAATGCACACCTCACCTTACCTCACGGATTTCCGTCTCCGGAGGTAAGGCCCTTTGAAGAACGGAGCTAACACGTCAAAAACCTTCCACGAAAAGGCCGTGAGCGACCGACCTCAAGCAGTTGTCCCTTGGGCACTGCGGTCACGCTCTCATGTCACTAAGACCACCTTTAATCCAAATTCCTTTTCAAGTACCCCCAGAACAACCCTTCCACGGTGTGGGCAACCGGGAAGTGATAACCGCCCTCATACCTCTAACAGCACCCAAGACCACTGTATTCATAATCAACCTCCCTCTTTAATTCCTATTATTCCTCCTACATCGACTTTCAACCCTAAACTTCCTCCTTCGGCTTCCTCCTCAAGTGTCACCATAGCCAACGATTCTAGTGCTCAAAACTCTGTCCCAGGTCTACTGAAACCTCGCTCCAAACTACACATTGGAGCTTTCAACGTACGCACTCTATGTCAAATCGGTCAGCAGGCTTCCTTGGCTAAAACCCTAGAGTCTCTTTCCATTGATGTATGCTGTGTCTCTGAAACACGCATACAGGATCCCAGTGTGGTCATTCACTTGACCTCACCTCGGCAGAACGGAGAGCCAACGAGATACACCCTCCGTGTATCTGGTGACCCGATGGCCAGTTCTCGTGGACTGGCAGGTGTAGGCATAGCACTAAGCATGAGGGCCGAACAAGCACTGCTAGAGTGGATCCCCGTCAACAGTCGTCTATGTGCTGTTCGGCTGAACGGCTACGTAAGAACTCGGAAGGATAGGGACACACGTCGTTGCCTTTTTGTCGTTTCTGTCTACGCTCCCACTGACTGCAGCTCAGATGAAGTGAAAGATGAATTTTACAGAAAGCTTTCTGAACTTCTTCAGAAAGCTAAACGCTCAGACATAGTACTCGTAGCAGGTGATTTTAATGCTCAGATAGGTAGCTTAAACCAAACAGAAAGGCTTTCAGGTGGATATTTTAGTATTCCGACACAGCGAACAGATAATGGTGATCGTCTGCTGCAGCTATGCTCAGACAATCGTTTATTTTTAGCAAACACAAATTTTAAGCATAAGGAGAGACATCGTCTAACATGGCGACCCCCTACACCAAACCAACGATGGACTCAAATAGACCATATTGCCATCAGTCATCGTTGGAGAGGGTCGGTAGAAGATTGTCGCTCATTCTGGAGTACCTGCTTGGACTCCGACCATGCCCTAATACGGGCACGCGTCTGCTTGCGCCTCACTGGACGCAAAAAAGCCACATTAAAAAGACCCGTTAGAACTGAGTTGAGTAACGAGAAAACCAAAAGTAGGTTCCAGGAACAACTGAGGTCACACTTAGGTAGTTGTGAAGACGAGGCTGACCCAGATGTTGCTTGGAAGGGCATACAATCAGCTGTGGAAACAGCAGTGACATCTATTAGTGACTTAAACCACAGAGTTGTAAGGAACCAGTGGATTTCTTCAAGGTCTGTCACACTGATGGATTCTCGCAAACTCGTCCCATCAGGTTCTGAACGTGATGAAGAGCGAAAACAAATCAGATCTAGGTTAAGAAAAAGTCTAAGGAACGACCGTGAGCAGTGGTGGGTAACGAAAGCAAAAGAGATGGAAAAGGCGGCGACTATAGGGAACACAAGACAGCTTTACAGACTAATAAAAGAAACTGGAATTAATAAGTCAAGTGTAAGTGAGATTATTTCGGAAAAAGATGATACTCTCATCTGCTCCCAGTCCAGACGTTTAGAACGATGGGCGGAACATTTTAGAGAACAGTTCAGCTGGCCTTCAGCTACTCTACAACTACCCTCCATTCCCAGACAATGTGAATGGAACATTGAAGTAGGTCCCCCAACTCTTGCTGAAGTTCAAAAGGCTATAGTTAATCTGAAACGAGGAAGGGCAGCTGGTCCAGATGGATTGGCTCCAGAGGTCTTTAAGGATGGTGGTCCAATTTTAGCCATTAGGTTGACTAATATTTTAGCTAAGATCTGGGAATTAGACTTTATCCCATCTGACTGGTCGCAATCACACATCGTCCCAATATATAAGAAAGGGTCAAAATCATCCTGTGACAACCACAGAGGGATTAGTTTAACAAACATAGTATCTAAAATACTGGCCTCGATAATTATCAGACGCCTAACTAAGACTCGTGAACTACAAACTCGAGAGAACCAAGCTGGCTTTAGACCTGGTCGTGGCTGCATCGACCACATATTCACCATTCGTCAGGTTCTAGAACACAGGCATACCTATCGGCGTCCGACGATGGTGGTCTTTCTTGACTTAAAAGCAGCGTTTGACTCTGTAGACCGCGAGACTCTGTGGCAGTGTCTGTCATTGAAAGGCGTACCTCAGAAGTACATAAACCTTGTAAAGGCTCTTTACTCGAACACCACTAGTCGAGTCAGGGCTTATGGCGAACTGTCATCTACTTTTGCAATTTCAAGTGGTGTCCGTCAAGGCTGTCCACTTTCTCCATTTTTGTTTAACTTCACCATAGACCTATTGATGGAAATAACACTCTCGTCGACTGAATTCTCAGGTATTGATCTCCTTCCAGGAGGTCCACTTATCGACTTAGAATACGCAGATGATATAGTCCTGTTTGGTGAAGACGCTGACAAAATGCAGAGTCTTCTGGTAGCACTAAGCAACAATGCCAGAATGTTTGGGATGCGCTTCTCTCCCTCTAAATGCAAGTTGTTGCTTCAGGACTGGTCGGCGTCAACACCTGAACTAAGGATAGGGAGTGAAGTAGTCGAACGCGTCGACAACTTCACTTATCTTGGAAGTCTGATCAGCCCTAATGGGTTGGTGTCTGACGAAATCTGTGCAGGGATTCGAAAAGCTCGCTTGACTTTTGCCAACTTACGTCACCTTTGGCGAAGGCGAGATATCCGTCTATCAATAAAAGGACGAGTATACTGCGCGGCAGTCCGTTCTGTTTTACTTTACGGCAGCGAAACGTGGCCCTTAAGAGTAGAAGACACCCGTAAGCTATAAGTATTTGACCACAGATGCCTTAGAAATATTGCTGGCATCTGCTGGGATCACCGGGTAAGTAATAGTGAGGTTAGACGCAGGGTATTAGGGAATGATGGTAAATCAGTTGATGAGGTTGTGAATCTTCATCGACTGAGATGGTTGGGCCACGTGTTACGTATGCCCGAACACCGATTACCACGACGTGCAAGGCTAACCGGTGTTGGAGATGGTTGGAAGAGAGTTAGGGGCGGCCAAACCAAAACGTGGCATCAGTGCTTGAAGACACTGACTTCTAGTCTGAGCCATGTTGGTAGATGCAGACTACTTGGTTGGGGTCCGCGTGACCTTCGTAACCAATGGTTGGAGACTCTTGGTGACATGGCTCAGAATCGATCACAATGGCGTCGGTGTATACACTCCCTGTCTTCCCTTAAACTAAGAGATTAAATCACTTCATATCTTTCTTTCTACGAACTAATTCTTCCTTCCTATACTATATCCTTATTGCAACCTTTGACCTAACCACTCCTATGAATCCGGTGTTCATCTTGTTGTGCTAATGAGGTATGGCAACCTGGACCGATGCACATATGTGCCTGGTCCTACGTTGTAGCTGACTGACTGACTGACCTTTGACCTAACCACTGCTACGAATCCGGTGTTCATCTTGTTGTGCTGATGCGGTATGGCAACCTGGACCGATGCACATATGTGCCTGGTCCTACGTTGTAGCTGACTGACTGACTGATTTACTATAATTGAAGAGCAAAGCACAACTGTTACACAGATGGAGAAGTTCGATATATAATCGCCATGTAGACATTGGAATCTAACTCAATAACCGGATAAAAAATTATCGATTGCCCACGTAGACTTATGTATTTAATAATCAACGACGACTTTGAACTATACTGGTTTTTTGGAGGCTAGTGTGCTGCCTAGTTATCTAAAATGAGTAAAATAACCAGTAATCCAATATTCCACATGAACAATTAACTGACATTCCTTCATTATTATCAATAACTGATATACCAAGAGATTGTCTGAGAAAAAACTCATTTCAGCTGATAACGTTAATCAAAATGTGGAACTGTTATAATCTCTTTCTTACGGTTATGACCCAGCTATTCCTATTGCTTAGTATTCTCGGATACCGATTCACTCGACAAGTCCCCAAATCAGAACACGGCTGAACAGGAAAGAGATTATATTCCAAATAACAAGGTTAGATGGAAGCAAGAAGCAAGTCAGAAGCACAATAGGGAAAACGTCAGTGTATTTATAGTCTTTACATGAGAAGATTCTAGAGCGTCCACCAAAGCAATCGTGCATTGAGCTTGCTTTAATCTAGTCTATGTCCCACTAATAGGAACTATACCTGTCTACCAATCTTTTAAATATAAAACTATGGTATCTTGGTCTGAGTATTTACTCTGAACTATTCCTTCAGTCTTGAACCTACACAGCACATCGACTACGTCACTCTAGATTGCTAGGTGTTATCGTCAGTTTAGTTTATGAATTTCTACCCCAAAACTACATTATTTCTTGATTTTAATTACATTGAAAATTATGCAGTACATATTATGTGCTAATTATTTGAATCAGAACTCAAATATTTAAAAATTAAAACAATGTTATTTTAAACCTACAAATCACAATGAAAACGTCTTGAGCGAAGCGTAGGTGGACAAGACAATTGGAATGGTGTATTGAATGAATGCTTTTGGTGGACTGAACGTTGAATCACATGTCCTTCACGTATAACTAAATAGCCGCTGTCACCTAGACTGGCACCATAAACTCTGTGTTCATTACGTTGCAATGAAACTATGCATAGGGTTGCGCTACCTATAATAATAGTAATAATAATAATAATAATAGTAGTAATAATAGCATATGCACTCACTAAACTTAGATGTACACGGACATATGATAAACCAATGGTTCACAGGCGTTGATGTATCGTCAATAAACAACTTTTATTAAACTCCATAACGTTTTGAACAAAAGAGCTACATATATGGTGTTTATGATATCAATACCATATATTGTTCATTTCATAGTCCAATGGTTGAGAGTCGAATGTCAGTCTTACTGACTCAGCTCTAAATGTACCTTGGGCCATTAAGAACAGTGATTTTTCGCATGCACCTAGTTCATTGAACTTCACTGAGGAGGAATCGTATTACATTTTATGTGAAAACTGTCATTAATTATTATGCTATTTAAAATAAATTACACCCTAGTTTTGTTTCAAATAAACCTCTTCAGTTTAACTATAGAATAAAACCTAGAGACAAAATAAGCTTTCGCAAATATGTCCAAAAACAAAAATAAAAATCATTAGCTGACGCTTTGATATCTGTGTTTATAACATTGTCAAAACTGAGTTTTTTGGAAGTACTGCAAATGGCGAGCATTTAAACAATACATGTCGTACCTTGTCACAAGCGTACTCTAAGTTTGTATATGAACACAACTGCTTTAATTGATACCTACTTGCCCCTTTATGGGTGTTGCTCAGTATACAATTAATGATTAGACCAATCGTAGATAACAGAGGATCTGATGGGACTTTTCCGGTTCAAGCTGTCGTATAATATGTCGCAATAATCAGGTCAGTTTACATGATGAAAAGTAAAGATGAGTAGGAGTAACAACACCAAATAAAATAGAAACTACACACAAGAAATATAATCTAGCAAGAAAAAGCTAAGCAGTAGGATGAAAAGCATAGAATTAGACTGAAAATTTAGGGGAAGATAATGAATGAATGTATCTACGCTAGTGCAATTGATTTTGAGTCATGTCATCACAGTAACATACAAAAATCACCATAGACACAGTGAATGTGACAGAAATAGCAAAACAAAAATCCTTTGACGTTAATAAGTACGTTCAGAGCTGCAAAATCGTTTATGTATTTAAAACAAATTCCTTCATTATAAAGGACTAAGCTTATAATCAAACAAACTAAAAATACACTGGATTTATGGTTATACTGCCTGAAAACTGATTTAGACTTTTCAGTTACAGGTTGAAATTTTTCCCAACTACTTTATATTGGGCACTTGCAATTTACTAATAACCACTGAATAATGTAGCATGACTGTCCACATACTGGGTGGATTAAAATAGTTGTCATAAACTCACACTAAACAATCAGCCTACTAACATTCTGATTTGTTTAGGTAGGTCGTTTTTGGTTGGTTGTTGATCCAAAGCGACCTAAAGATACAAATAAAGAAGCTCGTAGTTAACAACAAAACAGTTCTACTCAATGTCCACTGCGGAAATGGTTTTTTTAATTTTTTTTTGGTTACAACAAAAACTTGAAACTACAGCAAAGTGTTTTTACTGATGAAAAATATCAGACCATACAGAAGAAGATAAGTGGCTTACGGTTAGGATAAAACCTTATCTTAAACTTAAGTCTACGAAATTGAGTTAACCAAGAGCCATTCGTTCACTTTTTTCAAAATTACTTGTACTTCCCATAGTAACACAACGATAAGAGATAGCTAAGTGACTTTCTAATTCTGCTAGGTTCTTAGAAAGAGACTGAACCTGCTGTCAAAGAACAATGAAACATAAGGGACAGACAATTATAAACGACTTATCATACCCAAAATAAGTTCTTTGGAATTCAGTACATCTTCATAGCATTGGGCAATTAAAACCTCTAGCTTGTCGGGAATAAAACGACCGGAATTTACAACACGCTCACAATTCTTCATAACTGCTCTAGAGAAACGACCAGGATCGACTCCGTACGACCGCCAACCACCAACACCATCAGCGACACCTAGTAAACATAAAACATAACATTTCGTATGAAATAAAAACGATAGAGGATTTGAAAGTAGACTGGTAGAACAGTTTTATGGTTAATATCCGAAATGTACTATAAAACTTGCTCTACAAAAAATCTACGCCAAATATAATAGATGCACTCAAAAACTAGGCTTGTAATTTAATTTACTGCTAACAAGCTATAATCCGATACATTTTGATGCTTATTTTACTAAGGGTTAAAATAAAAGGTGGGGGATCAATAGAATTAAAAGTACGGGGAAAACTAAGACTTCAGACCGATCAAAGAAATGCAGGAGCATTAATTATCTAAACATCCTCACACAGTATCAGCTATGAATTGGCAGGGGCCAAAGCTAAAAGTAGTGATGGGGTACAACAAACGGAGACCCAGAATCTGTAAAAGTGAACAATACACATCCCCGTTTCACCTACAGACAACAAAGCCTAGGTAACTTGAGCTGCATCAATTCTTACATTTGTTTATTTGAATACCAAGTAGTTACAATTTAAAAATATAATTATACACGAGTATTAAATGACCTTTGATAAAGCATCATAATACAGTCCAGACGTGACACGACATACTACTCAGTCTCTCTTCAGCATGAAACATTCGGAAACCCCAAATATTTACTGAATGTCTATGAAACACTTTACATGTTTACAAAACATGTTACAATATTTAAAATAACTTTTGGTTACATTTTACGTTTACCTCAGGTAGCGGTACGTCTTACGATGAAAATCTAGCAACCTAAACTAACGCGAGTAAATTTTTCAACTCTAATCAGAGCTTTGAAGGAGTTTTATGATCGGAACATATGTGGAATGATTATGTAGAAAGCGAAGCGATACCTAGCTATTAAGGAGACCTGTCAATCATTTACGTATACTTTTCGAATTAATTAAGATACATAAGGGTTTATAAATGGTTGATGAAAGAACTCTGAGACACGAAAAACTCTGTGCAAACGCCACAATATCCGGTTAATTTGTTTGTTTGAATGACATGACTTACCTAAGACGTACGAAGAATCTGTTACTGATAAGAAGCAAGCATCATCCCCGTAAACCCATTTCGGCGAAATCCTCGTTGAATATTTAGTGTGCTTATTGTCATAACCAGCAACTGCAGTAAGAAGACACAACCTTACTCTCCTTAAAAATACCTCGGAGTTATTATTACTTCCCCGAACTTTTGACACAGGACGAAATAGGGAACGAATTTGAGACATTAAACTGCTCATGACTGTGTATCCATAAAATTGACTGGATTGTATCATAAGTCGTTTTTTGTTTAGATAAAAACAAGACTAAACAGACAATACTGATGAGTCTTTGCACCAAGTTATTCATTTGCAGTGTGAAGGTCGATCCCAAACCATAATTAACAACTAGTGAGCTTAAACGTAGCTGAAGGCCAAGTACTCTTCATCAAAAATGATTATGTGTGGAAAGTCTGAACCCCTTTTCAGTTGCCAAAACTCAAGTTTCAGGAGCAATTTATCGATGATATTTTCAGGTGGAGGCCCAATAAATACTGAAGTGAAGTTTGGAAGTCAGTTAAAAACAAAGTTTAGAATACTTGTTGATAAAAGTAAAACGCATCAGTTGCTATCAGAACACAAGTGATAATTGTAGGCATCGTTAATCAAAAGATGAATCAGACTACCTGTTAATCCATTAAGGATATCTCGAAAGTCCATATGAAAACCCCATAAATTGTTTTAAAAATAAAACTTATTGGAGTAAACAATCGCTTTCAATGTTCTTTACTCCTGGCATTGAGTTTATAAATCGAAAATTAATGTCTATGAACTTAGCTTAGGCTTTGTGAGGCATAATTAGAGTTCTATGTATTTCTTAGGACTTCTTTGTGTATTCTTGGTTCAGATTCACATTCTGACTCATGCAGTGAGGACAGAAAGCTGATATATTACGTAGTTTCTAGTCCAATAGGTTTCTGTTGGTTTCCAGTTCTCTCCTGAACGGTTTAGTTGAGGGTGTGTGCATTACTCTTTTGTGCAATGGGTTGTAAGTGTCAATGACTATGTGTGAAATCTGCCTGTCACGGATATCTTGTTCGTTCTTGGCCCGTATACACACTTGGCCACCCCGACAGTTATCAACTAGGCTTGATACTAGCTATCTAAAAGGTCTAGGTCGCCCTGGAGTGCACATACCTCCCCATCCTCTATTAACTCTCGTTGAGTAATGACATGATCAGCACAAATTATCAGCGGAGACTGTAGTAGCTTTGCTTCGTTAATCAACCACGATAACCGCTGTTATATACATTCCAACGATATTTTAAATCAAAAGTGGCAACTACAAGTAATTTACCTAAAGCACAGACTACAAAGTTATAAACACAATGAGCGGATTTGAAGCAGAGCGGAGAATATGTGTATACGAGCAAATACAGAGGCAAAATTATAGCCAAATCACGTACACATATACATGGGGAAGAGAATGATTCACAGAGCGATATTTAAACGATCAGCATTTTTGCTAGAGTCTGTTATGTGATCAAGCGTACACGTTTATGGTAGTTATCATAATAGTACAAAAAATATTCGAACTGTTACTGTTCAAATGACACAGTCTGTTAAGTAACTTGATAAAAAGCCTTAACTAAAATTTAACCATAATCAACATTGATTGTAGGAGAGTCGCTATAAGACTGAACAACTCGGCAGCTTCTGACATGTAGGATGAAATGTAAGGGACAAAGTACAGAGCCTTCCGTGGAAGAAAAAATTTCTAACTGACGGATCAATATCCGCGAAATCGAACTCACCCAGCGCGAACGTTATCTTATACTGGCCTGATTACGTTAGTGTATTGTACCTGTAAACAGTGGAGTTCCCCAAGGTACAATCCTCGGTCCTCTTCTCTTTTTACTTTATGTAAATGAATTGCCAACTATAGCGAAATCATCCGTTCTACTCTTCGCCCATGACATAAATATTCGGGGACCCATACACAGTATGTCAAATAGAATAGTATTACAGGATGATCTTAGCTCATTGGTGGCATGGATGGACAGGTGGTCACCAGGAGTAGAATCCAACACGAGTGTGGTGATGCAATTAAATAACTATGATGAATCGTATCACTATACAATATGTGGACACGTGCTACTCAAACAGAATATAAAGATTCAGGAGTCATATTAAGCAGTGATTTCAAAACCACTAGTCAATGTAAGGTTGCTGCTGCGAAAATCTACAAGGTATTATGGTCTATTCGTTGGTCTTTCTAGTATTTAGATGACGATATTTTTAAATTATTATACCCGACTTTCATGCAACCACATTTAGAATACGGGATTCAAGCAGCGAGTCCCTGTTTCAAGTATGGAGCAGGTATGCTGGAAAGAGTCCAACGACGAGGGACTAAGATGGTTAAAGGTCTATCTGGCCTATCCTATGAAGACAGACTGAAACACTTTAACTTATTCCCGCTATCTTACCGTAGAATATGGGGTGATCTAATATTGGCTTATCATATACCAAACGATGACCTTGGTATTAACATGTCTTTTACTTTCGTCTAGGACTGATAATTTGAGAGGACATTTGAAGAAAGTTCAAAAGCCGAGATCAAGTCGTTTAAGTCTGGAGTTTCGTTTCTCGCAACGAGTAATGAATTACTGAAATGCCCTACTGAAACACGTAATATCAGCACCTTCTGTTGATATATTCAAAACGAGATTAGACCTCCACATTATTACAAACTGCAAGTATTAATATAGGTTGATAGACTTCCTAGCCTTATTACTGATGTGTGAAGTCTGACATTCCTCGCTATACACAATCGTCACGTAATGTCGCGTCATTATTTCTGGTAACGTGCCCCATCGTGGCAGTCAGAGGTAGTTGCAACAACACTTTAAAGATAGATTAAAGCCTATTGATCGAGTAGTATATTTAGTACAAAGATGAAGGCTGCAGTAACCATGCCTACTTGGCTGAGGCATGTATTTTCAACAATGTACCTGCATCAGCACTTTAACCGTCACTATTTTACATGGATCTCTCGATGCTCACTGCTCTGTTGTTTAACGCAGAAACAGTTCAGCTCGATGGATGGTTGGTGTTGAGGATTAAGTATTATTCTAGAATCACGACAATGCCACATGAGATATTAATTTTTTGTCTCATCTCTTGAGACAACTTGTAAGCAAGACAAGGTTTTCCATAAAAATGAATATGTTGGCACATACATCGACCCAAGCAAATGAAGAATTATAAATGAATACGCCAATTTATCTATTTGTGCCACGACGATTTCAGATTGTTATGTAATGATTATGCCAAGATATGGATAGCGATAAAATGTAGGGGTGATAGCGTAGAGCTTCAAAATGACTTGGAGAAATTATCTGAATGGTCTTAAACTTGACAGTTGCCGATAAATACCTCCAAGTGCATTGTGATGCATATTGGTAACTGAGGTGCGAGTACATACATGATGAATAACATTGAGCTACCTGTTGTCCACACACACAATCACTTAGGATTCATCGTTAGCCAAGCATTAAAACTACTGCATACTTCCATGCAATAGCCGCCAAAGGTTTTAGAATTCTATGTTATTCCTTTTCTAGTATGCTTCTGTGAGTCTCTAGTCTTCTCTTGAAAGAGTCAGTTGAAGATGCGGACACCACTGCCTTAGGCAGTAGGCTCCAAGTATTAATGACTCGGTGTGGAAACCTGTATTTTGTTCATCCTTGGATTTTCTACTCGCCTGCTATGTCCTCTGAGTTGTCCCGATCTAGTGCGAAAAAAGAGAGAGAATAAGTTAGGTCCGAAATCATTTCCCAGTATTCTGTACATCAGAATTACATCTCCCTTAGTCTGCGATAGGAAAGAGTAAAGAGGTCCAGTTTTTCAAGCCGCTCTTTGTATGATAAACGCCGGAGTTCTGGAATTGCACGGGTAGCTGCCCTCTGTACTTTTTCTAGTATGTCTGAGTCACCTTGTAAACAGGGGCTTGCAGCCTGAACGCAGTTCTCTAGCTTAGTTCTCACTAAGGATGTGTGTACTATGGTGAACGTGGTGGTATATGCACTCACTGTTTTTGTCTTTCAAATCAGAGAATTTACTAGGACAAATTACTTGTCGGTTGACTATGTACTTTCAATCAACTTATCAACGAGTGAAATTCATTACCTCAACACTAGTTTGAAGATCAATCTGTTCACACTTTCAAAAGAAATTCGGATCAAATTAGAGCTCTCAAATAATGATCTAGACCACCATGACTAACAGAGACCGCTTAACTTCCTGTCTCTTCCGAACTGAATCTGAAACTGAAACCAATATCTGCAGTGTTTTTCAACTAATGGAAATCAGTTTGCTCTTCATAATTGCCAGTGGAGACTTCAGAATTGCGTAGAACCTAAGCGATGCGTTGTGACAGGATGGCATAAAAATGACGAATCGTTTTCTCAGACAGTACCTTGTTCTCTTGTTGACAAAATGAAATATCTCAACCCATTTCAAGTTAAGCGTATCAACAGTATTGATTTCACTTATGTCTTTCTTCATGTAACGGCCTCCAAAAAGACCAACATTTTGTCTAAAGGTCAAAGGTACCGAGCGTGTAGTGAGTTGTGAAGTTGTAGTGATCGTAATTTGGTTTTAATTTTTTTTGCAGTGGGTTGACAATTATATTGTCAATAAAAAGCATCATAGACTGTTTTTCTGTTCAAATATTGGTTGATCTTAGATTTTGCCAGAAACGTTTCTTATGGGACTAAATTTAATTATGTATCCGGATACAAACTAATAATTTCACCGAGCTGCAGTAAAGCAGTCTTGAAAAAATTTTTCACGGCACCATGCTGCGTATTTTCCTCCACAGTGTTGTCACAAATGGGACGAATTACAACTTAGGCATAAGTACATACTCAGGTAGTCCTGAAAAAAATGTTGACAAGCATAACAGCTTCCAGTCACTCATGTAGAACACTAAATATGTCATATATCAGTTCAGGTCGCAACACCACTTTACCACTTAATTTTTTAAAGACAAATCCCATAGTAATAGTAACTATCGGTAGTAGTAGAGGCTAGGTATAAGTATTATTACATGACAATCCTGAAAATCATGTACGCCTATGCAAAAACTCAATATCATGCTGTCACTAAGGTCTGTATTATTAATTATAGTTAGATTTTAAGTGGGAGCAAGCTATTCAGATTTTATGGAAGTTAAGAACCAAATTGCAGGTCAGATTGTGCATTCGTAACTTACTCTTATTTTTGAAAGTGGATATATACTTTTATCTGTTATCCTATGGGATTACAAGAAGTGTCCTTACATGTGTATGGAGTTAGTGACATATTTGTAGATTAATGTGGCTTCTGTGTACCGGTAACTGTAGAGCTCTTCTGATTTTTGTAAAAATCGTGAACATTTGAACTTTTAAAAGTGTTGGGAATTATCTCGCGCGTATTGATTTGACATCTTACTCTGTGAGTCAATTATAAATTAACGACTGTAAATTGCCGACTTCCTCATAGCGAATTGTTTCTTTCATGTTTGGATACTATGATTTTAAGACCTTAAGATTTAGGACCTATTATTATTTTAGTGCACTGTACATATAGGTAGGGAAGATTTAATATGTAATTAAATTTCCAGTGTTTCCATTTCTTTAAATTCTATCCGACCTGTACATTTCTCATAAGTGAGAGTACAACATTTCCATTTAAATTGTAATGTTGTTCACACGCTTTGTTTCTCGACTATCATTCACAATGCACTACCTCTCACTTCACTCTGTTCTCAACCACATCTACTACTTGACCAGCCACAACTAATCCCGTTGCCACGCTTTTGCAGTTTGGCGTCTCGATTTTCTCTCTCTCTCTCTCTCTCTCTCTCTCTCTCTATATATATATATATATATATATATATATATATATATATGTGGTATTATATTTGGAAATGACACTTTGTGATCATAAATTTGTGTATTTTTGAGCTTTTTCAACACATTTTTTGAACATGCAAGTAACTCCTAGTCATAACTATTCATAATTCGTTTATATATTGACTGTTGGTGTATTTATGTTTTTATCACTTTTTAACGAGGGTCTGCCACCGGATAGACTCGCTGATGCCGAAAGAGAATTCGGGCATAGTTATCCGACTAGGCACCAACTTAGCATACCAGAGGCCTCTCCGTTACATATGGTGGTTAAGGAAGATCGTCACTGGGGTATATGCATTGATTAAAAACCCAAATATACCGGGTCAGTGATCGGTGTCCCATGTAGGTGGTTTCATTCAACTGTATTAGAAATATACAGTTTTCGTCTGGGCTACGAGAGAGATTTTCAGTTGATAGCAGAGTCTCATTACTAAACAACTTGCTTTTGGGTGGTCACCGTCCGGCTGATATAATAAATTGCAAAAAGGCAGGTAAACTTGCCAAATAATACTCATTGAAACTTAGTTCCGGAATCAATAGTCAGTGTAAAAGGGACGTCGAGAATAAAAATCAAGCAGTCTGAAAAATGAAGAAAACAGTTTATACATAGGCATTGGTAATAGAACACACAATAGCACATTTAATGGGATGATCAATGGTTGTAAATGTGTGTATAGAGGTTTTAATGTTGGTGGCGGTCATACGATGTTAATGTACACAAGCTGAAGCAGTCTGTCAGACTCTGAGGAATCATTTAACGAGGTTACCACATACAGACAAATCTTTTCTCCCAAAAATATATAAATCAATCACAATACAATTTTGTTTTCTTAATAGTTTAGTGTTCTTTGGTTAGCATTTTGCTTGTGAATTTCCAATTATTTTAAGTTTGTTTTAAACTACCTAGCTAGTTAAATTGGACGCTGCTAAATATGAGACAACGAAATATAGTAGATTTGCCATACTCCGCAAACATTTATTTATGGTCAACAATAATACATTTGTAGTGTCGTAATGAGTAGAAAATTGAGTTTCTGACTTTCTGCGGCTTAACATAATCTGCGTCTTCAGAGAATAAATAAATGACCGAAATTAATTGACGTGATTGCAAAGAAAAAACGTAAAACACTTGGTGTAATTAAAAAGCAATCCATCCGGTGTTCAGTTTATTTGAAATTATCGAGTTACATTTCGCTAGTGACAGTTAAGAAGTAATAATATGTTATAAAAGTATCACTAAACACTAAATGATAGCCAGTAGAAGTGTATTTGTTGGTATCTACTGGTGAAGCCTACATTTATCTAAAAAATATTTTCCAAGAGCGAATCTCGCACTTATGTGTTACACTTTACTGTATACTCTTATGGTGTTAATGAGTTGCAGTTTTACTTGTGTAACAATTGATAATGCATTTTTTAATTTCCATTTTTCAGAGGCGTATATTTACAACTTTTATCAGATGAATTATGACTATCTCAACTCACCACAAAAGAAAGGAAGATTCAACATCGCGTAAGTTCCTTTTTTGTCAATTCGCTCTTCACGTTACTACTTATTACGTTGGAAGTCATTGTTGGCTTAGCATTTTATAATCTAGATATTTCTTGATAATCTTTTTCTAATTGAGAAAAAATAGGTGAACATAGTTCCTAACTGATATTAACTGCTTGTTTGGAACATATGCTGAGGAATTGTGACAAGGAAGGAAACAAAGATAACAGATGAATATTTATTATGCATCGAAAATAAGCTAAAATCCATGCCCGAATACATTGGGTTTTCTAAATATGTTTTACATGTACTGATCAATAATCGAATTTGAATTAATTAGACTGGGTGGTAATATACATTATTTGTCAATAAGTTAGTATTTTACAATTTCATAAAACTAACTAATCAACAATTATAACTAATTTACCATGTTAAATGGTTATTATTCCTTAAAACCTAATAATTTGTATATTTTTTTTACTGTCCTCGTGTTTTGATTTTCACTGCATTAACTAAAACATCAGCCTTTAACCTGTCTTTTTCTGTAGTAATGATATGCGATTTTCAGAGTTCTAGTAAGAAACCGTGACCAGCGGAATTCAACCGTCTTGAGTGTGCGGCAGTCACCGAAAACAATTGAAGATGCTCGCGCAATATCGTAAATTTATTGAATTTAATTATCTAAACCAACAGTCAAAAGGTTAAGCTCCCGTCGCGAGACTCGAAGGTCCTGGGTTCGACCTCATATGGTGGGGTCGTGGATGCACACTATTGAGGGTTTCGACACTAAGGTGAGACAACTATCCAGTGTTTCCTGGTTTTCATTAGTTGTCTAACTTGATTTAGATCGTGATTTCAATAACATGACAATCTCCACGAACCCTCATACTGATAATTTCTGAAGACGGACTACGATAAATGTGCAGAAATGAGCTATATGCGATCTATCGGGATCAGAAATGATCTAATTATTAACTGTGTAGCTGCTGATGTTATTTTCTTCATACAAATACGTATAAGATTTATAAATTGATATGCAAAAGGATGATAGTCAACTACCAACATCCAATGAATTCAACCAATTGGAGCCAATATAAATTATTATGGGTCGAATAATCAAATCATAAAATTATTCAGGGATAGCTTTGATCACTATGTGATATCAACTAAAGAACTAATGAAAACCTGGGAGGAGGACTTAGGACTGTTGTTTCGTCCTGGTTCGTAACTCTTTAACAGTCAGCATCCAAGGTTCCACTCTCAATCTAACCCAGACCTTTCGCATACCTTTTCAACACAGTTGAGACTTGATAAGCAGGATTTCAAAACAGGACGAAAAGGTTCATTCCACCATTTCTAATGTAACTGTAAATCGTATAAATTATTCGTGATTAACTGTTTTCACAAATTTGTACTTTGGTTGTGTAACCATTAAAAACTTCCTGCATTCATTTGAAGTGCGATCATGTGGAAATCCTTTGTGACACTGACGTTCGAAGTTCTGCGAACAATTTAACTTAGATAAGAATAAAGCTGTAATTCTTACGTCTATGTATTGAGAGTCATTTCACTGAGGGAAAAAGTGGTCTTAATGTCTCATAAATGTGTTAGGATTTACATTTCAAAATACGTCAGCTTGAATTTATCGTCATGATTATTTAGATATTCTTTTTCAAGGCTGTTTTCTCATCTGATTTTACATCAAATGTCACTACGTTTTCATTCCCAATGTTAATATGATGCATATATCTTTTACAATGTTTTGCATCGGTTTATATCCTTCGTTTATAGTAGATTTTAATGGGATCACATTTTCGCGAAATTTATCATTAAAAAAGTGAAACAAGCAAGTTTTTTCATGCCTGACGGCTAATAACACTAATCAGCTTCTCAAAATTAAGTGGACTCGGGTTCGAACCTGCAAATCGATGGTTAACAGTTAAGTACGTTTTAGCCACTAAAACACCGCTCATTATTTTCAACAATAAAAATCATTTTGCTCATAGATCATGCTTAATTATTCATGATTATGTTAGAATTCGATTTTTTATTTTAGCATGGTATCAGATTTTTGTTACCCGAATGTTGGCGGTGTAGAAAGTCATATTTTTGCTTTATCTCAATGCCTTATTCGACGTGGTCATCGAGTTATTATAATCACTCACTCATATGGTTCTGAAGGTGGTCAACGTCAAGGTGTAAGATATTTGCCACGTGGACTTAAAGTATGTGGTTGTAATTTGGTTTTGTTTAATTAAAAATTTTATTTTAGGTTTATTATATTCCAATTCAACCGTTTTATAAACAGTCAATTTTCATCACAGTTCTGGGCACATTACCAATAATTCGTGAAATAGTAATACGTGAACAGATTGATATTGTACATGGACATTCAGTATGTTTATAGTAAATTAAAAATATTTTGTTAAGTTTTGTCATGTTAGCTAATCTTTTAAATAGGCTGACCTCTTGTTTTTAATATCTGTCGGGTGTTGGACAAACACGTTTATGGACAGCAACATATGAACCATATGTATTCTAGCCTTTTATAGATATATTCGTAGTTATAATATAAATATGAAGCAAAGATGGGTAGTAGCTAGCAGTGGAATCCAGGATGTGCGTATCGTTCTATTTGAGACAGGTCAGCTGGATGTATCTACATCTCTGAGACTCGAACCCATTACCGTTCGCTTCACACGCCATCGCGTTATCCACTTAGCTACTGAGTCCTGATAGCTAATTGCCTGTGCAATGGGGTGAAGTTTAACTTGTTATTGTTTACTTGAATCTTCCCATTGCTGTTTAGGACTGCAATCCAGGACACGCGTTTCGTTTTTGCTTATAATGCTTGTGAATTTGGCAATATGCACAGTATACACACATGCCAATAAGAGATTGATAAATTACAGTCCTAAACATCAATGAGAAGATTCATCTAAACAATGCCAAGTGAATTTAAATATCTAATAGTTAAAATCATTCTGTATTAAGGGATTAACTATGTAAATGTGTCACAGATGATAAGATGGTCATATTCTTTTATTACAGAATATTTACATTGCTTTATTCTATATTGAATAGTTGTCCGTAGTCGTCAGATAATCACAACAAAAGAGGCTTAGAGTTAAGGAATAGTTGTAAATGGGTGAGTGATTAGGGCATATCCATTGTGTTTTATTATACAAAGCTAATGCATTAGCAATGTCTTCCGTAATACCCACAGCGTTTGACCTCTTTTCTAGCTTATCACAAGATTGTTGTCTTATGTGTTGGTTCTCAAGGGTTAAACGACAAGAGTAAAGGTAACATCGTGCAGATTCATGCAATTTGTTTTATCAATCTATGTAAATTATATACCCTCAATACGATTGGTCGTTTTTTCAGCCTTGTTCATAATCTGGGTAGCCCACTTTGCGTACTTGTTGGACTGACCCCATAGTCTGTTGGATGTCGAGATGCTCTATAGAAGCCTAGATGTTTGGAATTATCATATAAAATATAGTCTTACAACCTGTTTATCATTTAAAGTCACTGTCCCCTGAAGTAACAAAGACCTATTGATTATTTATTTAACACTCTTGATGTAATCATAATATCCAAGTCAGCGATACCAAGTCGCAACCTAATTATACTTTTTGATGTGTAACAACCCTAGCAAACTGTAATCTAAAAGCTTTGACTTAAGGTGTAACAACGTCTTATGGGATTGTACGTCCCAATTACACAGTATATGCATCTTCTTCCATCGGTTGACGAAACATTTACAAAACACGAAGTTTGCAACCTCATCTTAGAATGCATATATGTGGTTAAAATGTGTAATACCTTTATTACTTTTCTTCCTCGTTATAGATATTTTCTCCTTTAGCCTGTGAAGCTGCAATTCACGCACAGAGCCTTGGCTGTCGAACTGTTCATACAGAGCACTCACTTTTCGGTTTTTCAGATTTGTCAGCAATAATTATGAATAAAGTAATGGAAGGTGTATTTACAGCTGTAGACCAAGTGATCTGTGTTTCACATACTACCAAAGAAAATGTAGTTCTTCGAGCTAAATATGATGCTGATCGAGTTTTTGTAATTCCTAATGCAGTGGATGCCTCTGCGTTTATTCCTGACCCGTCTTGTCGTGATCCTAATTACAGTTAGTAATTTGTTTAGATACTTTGATGAAGTTTACTTTTTTACATTTGAATACCACTTGAGTCCTCCTACTTTTAAAGTTCAAGTTTCACAACCATAGCAAACTTTTGCTCATTATATCCATTCTTTGTTTGTAAACACATATCTCGATTACGCCAAAGGTTGACACAAATTAGAAAAAGTTATCGAGCTCTCTGGATCCATGCTAAGATTTTGTCAGGCATCAAACCACCTGTTATAACCCAAAGCCGCCAATCAGAAGCAGAGAATTATCGATCGGATCAAGGACGCGTAAAACACGTGCGAGCAGCCTAGAGTCCTGATTGGCCCTGCTTCCTGCCTAGCCCAGCCACTTAAGTCCAGAACACAAGTCTCAGCCTCTGCGATATACATCATTATATTTCAGACATACTGAGTTCATATACCAATCAAACAGATCACAAAGTACCAATAAAATATGAAATAACATTTGTACAAGAATTAGCCAGATGTGGCCGTGAATGAGGGAGGTAGTAATTAATATACTGGGTATAACTCAAAAATGGTAAAACGTATAATAATAGTTTATGGGTCAAAATAAAGCTTATAATAAAAGGAATATGAATATGCATAGTTTAGTTACTTAATAATTATACAATTGAAATATACGTTTAGTATTGGTCCATCAATAGATCGCAAAAGTTACCATTCATTATTCTTGTTGTGACATAACACCACCAAAGCTGATGAGACAAGTCAAGTGGTCAACAAAATCAACTAAATCACTCCGTATGATTAATCTAGAGGGATAACTCAGACCATACCTAAAACATTATTTTGGATTTAGAAACTCAGACGAACCATAATTGGACTTTGTCAAAGGAACCATAAGACTGCACTTTTTCGGCATGCTTATACAGAACTATGTCATCTGCACATTGTGAGTCGATAAATGAACCGCATGGTTGGAGACCAATCACTATAAATTTAGGAGAAAGCACCATCTCTAAAAGAGTGTATGTGACAAAGATAAAGATGGTGGAAGTGGATGGTAAACCCTGAATGAAAAATGGACTGAAATAATTTGTTATCACGGTTTTCCTACCAATAATAGTTCCTTCAGAAGTCTTTGTGATGAAGTTTATTCAAATCCAAAGTATGCACTTAATGTAATCTTTTTTTCTAATTGACTTTTTTTCCAGTTACTATTGTTGTGGTTTCTCGCTTAGTTTACCGAAAAGGTCTTGATTTATTGGTTGCCATCATCCCGTCATTATGTTCTCTGTTTCCGGAATTAAGATTTCTTATAGGTAGGTATGTTACTTGCTTTTTAAACGCTTTTCATAATATCCTTCTTGTTCATTCGACTTAAAAAATTTAAACTGATTTACGGTAAATAAGAATATATAATGATTTAGGATTTTTCTGATCAAAACAGCTCGCTCATATTTAATATTAGGAAATCTTTTCCGATGTAGCCATTAATATTTCCCGAATTCCTACTGATTCCTAAATGTGATCAATGGTGATGAAACTGAAACTAAATATTGGGAATAATCTGTTTGTTCAAGACCATTATATATTAGGGGAATGATTGTTAAAGTCAGTAGCTGTACCGAAATTATAGTACCAGGTGCATCTAACGAGATTTTTTTTATCTTGTGCCGACCATCTGAAAAATAAAGTTTAACTTCTGTAAAATATTATTTCGTGTGGACAAACATACCTCTTGTACATCTCTATCTTTGAGGTCCTATGCAAATTTGAATAATGTGTAATCAGGTTTTGTAACTGTCATTATTTGTTGTCCCAAACCATCACTAGGGTCAGGTAGCGTTGCCCGACTTCTCCGTCCCTCGCTAACACTACCATTTATGATATTTTAGGAACAGTGCCGAAGGTGGTACGTGTTAATAATACGGATATATTTTATGTAGAAAGACCTCAATATCTGTAATGTGGTATTTTTATTTTTCGATTACATACACGCTACCTAAATTATATTTAGGTAGTTTAAATCAGTGTTCATAATTATATAGCTTTTCATTAATATATTTCAATGGTCGTGTGCAAGGTGGTCAAGGGAACTAGTTTACTTTGTTACTTAGTAACAAACCTTTGATGTTTTTTGTTATATTTCTCTCTTACGGTTATAAGCCAGCTATTCATATTGCTAGTATTCTCGGACACCAATTCACTCGACAAGTCCCCAAATCAGAACACGGTTAGACAGAAAAGAGATTGTATTCCAAATAACAAGGTTGGATGGAAGTAAGAAGCACAATAAGAAAAACGTTAGTATATTTTTAGTTTTTACATGAGAAGATTTCTAGAGTATTCTCCTAGTATCGACTAGTGCTGATTGGCTAAGAATTAGCTAATCAGCATGTACCAAAGTAATCGTGCATTGAGCATGCTTTAATCAAGTCTATGTCCCGCTAACAGTTTTTGCACCAATGGTATTGTGACAGAAGAGATTGGTTTTTGGATAGCTAAAGTTGCATATGTCTGTCCCAACTATTTTCATTAATTTCATGACAAGCTTGATCAGCAGTCAGATTTTTGAAGCATCTGATTTGGCTTACAACCTCAAGACATTTTTCAACCAGACTGATGGCATTCTGTGGATCCCTGTGCTTTGAAATCTCTGTCGCTGCATCATTACTCGCCTTTCTAAGATTACCATTCGAATAATATTGGCATCTGCTGACTAATTTTTTTAAGATGGCGATTATCCTTTCTTATAAATAAACTTATCCAACAACTCCAAATCGTTTGATTTTGACACATTCTGCATACTGTCTCAGGTGTTGCTATTTGCTAACATTGGGACTTTATGACACTAGCATAGAAACAGTCAGTTTATGTTATGGAGCCATGAAATGAGGAATAGTTGCATTGGGTGTGCATTTTTTGATGCAAAATAATTCTGTACATCCACCCTTAGTGATCATGTGATTGAACAGCTTCAAACATTACTGTATATGACCCAAAATTGTAGTCTTTAGTCTCCTAATATCTTTTACATTGACATCAAAACTTACTGTTTTACCCGCTTGATGGATATCCACTTTTTTAATGATTATTAAACCTGAATTTCACATAGTGTATCTAACCAGGCAAACCGATATTTTAAGTCTCATTCTTTTGCGCTAAGATCCTCATACTTACGGTCCGATATATATCCATGTGCTGAGCAAATGATGTTTATGAGAATGAAGCCAGTCTCTTTACTTTTCTTGTTCAGAAGATCCAATCCTTAATAAATGGTAAAATCACAGATTTATGTATGTAGTTATTGGCCTTGTTTAAAACAGTACATGGATTAGCATAGGTGTGAAATTATTTGGATGGATTCATATTCTCTGAACAGGGAAGTTTAATTATGAAGCTCTCTTTGTATTTTGATAACATTGTTAGCACAGAATTCAAATAGAAATGAGCTCTTTGAATTTCTGTCCATATTAAAGCGTCTAGTACTATGTTATGCCTACGTAGGTTATTCTAGCTTTTGCAAAGACCATATAATTTATTCTTCTCAAGATATTATCCACACATTATCTGACCTTTTCAATTATTTGCTTATAACTCTGATTGCTTTTATGTAGGTGTGTGTATCGCCTACTTTATTCATCATATCTTTAGCTTATTTTCCTGACTATAAATATTGAGTCGCGCTTTGTTGAATCGTACCTACTCCGTTTCACTTCGTTTTCCAGCTTCTCGTTTTAATATGTCTTAGCAAACAAGTGGATGGGATAAATTCATCTCACTCAATTCGTATTCGGCTTGTTATTACTGCCATCGCTGAAACGGGGTTAGCCCAGATGTAATATACGGAATTCATTGGAAGATTTATATTCATTCGTTCGTTTAAATCGGAGTCAGATCTTGGGTCACAACAATATTTGTTTAATAGTTAACACTTGAATTTGATCGGTTCTTGTTGACACTGATCATATCATTCTACTGAAGTTTATCCCGATAGCATTGTGTCAAAAGACAATAAGAGCGTACCGACTAAACCACCCAACTCAGACAACGCATATGTGTGCCACATTATACGTTAATCTATTTAAATTCTATGATTTTAGGTGGTGATGGACCTAAAAGACTTGAACTAGAAGAGATACGCGAACAGTATCAATTACATTCACGTGTAAAATTGTTAGGAGGTTTACAACCTCATGAAGTTCGGCCTGTGAGTTGTTACATAGCAACGTTTATTTTTCGTGGTTTGTGTTCTTGTGGTTCAATACATTTAATTATGTAAGCTTTATATTCTAGAAAGACAGAGACCTATATAGTTAAAAACGAATATTTTGTATTCGTACATCAAGAATGATCTTACTAAGCAATTCTATTAAATGTTTGTCCCAGTTGAATATATTATTCACTTTTATTAACTAGCGCGAATCAGAAAATAAGACTGTTGACCCGTTGTTGTTACTTTGATAACGGGAAAAAAGAAGAGAGGATTTCGCGATTGTGAAACCATTTAAACGTTTTGTTTATTAGTACACATTTCGCAAGCAAGCAAAATCCAAACTTTGTGTGTTACCTTTATGATACCATATGCTCCGATTTGTGTTCGAAATTTAACCATTCCAACCCAGCCTATTGTAGTAAGAGCCACTGTAATTCCCAATGATTTTAACATTTCCGAAGACATTAGAATGATAAATGTTGACTAGAACACTTGATGAATCGAAGGTATCTTGTTTTCTAAAATATTGTAACTGTAGACATTTTTGGCTTGTAAATTGATTTTGTTTGTTTGCTTAAGTGAGCTTCAATACTGTATCTCTGTTATTACTAGCAGCCCAGTTCAATATTTAACAGTATCACAACAATCTAAAACTAAAGCTAATGAAAACTGGAAATCTTTTATGATCACGTAGTTAGTTCATTTCTAAGATAAACCTCAGACTTTGTAACATTTTGCCGTCTAACCACTTGTTGAAGTTAGTCAGTACTTTTAACCGGCGGTTATCTATGTTGCATTGTAGTTTGTCTTCCTTATTTACTTACGTCAGTCTGACTTGTTTTAAATGTGACTACTTCCAGGAACGTCAGCTAAATAATCTTACTTCCTGTTTTCCCCATCTTGAATAAGTTCGACTCATATAAATCACAACTTGGCTAAATATATATAGCTAAAATATAAATAATTTTCACATATAATTAGCTAAATATAGTTGATATTCAGCTTTTTATTTTATTTCTTCCGTACCCTTCAATTCTTGTGTATCGTGTACAGCCCTAATAGAATTTAGAAGGGATAGTCATGACAATGACAAAATCATCTAGGTACCTTCAGCCTGTTCGAACTTCTGGGTCACCTCAAATGTGGATTTATTTCCATAAATTTTCCTGTTTCAAATTTGTTTTTACTTGTAATCACATTTGATAACCGAGATTGCATAAGGATTAGAGTGATATATATATATATATATATATATATATATATATATATATATTTATATATTTATATATATATATATGCTTCGGTTTGGGCACCCGGGCAGTAGTATCCCGGCCCTCACACATATCAAATGAGATTTATGTGGCGCATATGTATTTGGTGCCTCCTTGTACCAATATATATGTGTTGAAATAAATAAAAAAATATATACGTATTTGCGCAAAGAAAATACTAAACTCATTACAGTACTGTCTTAACTTTGAACTTCTTTCTTGAATTTTTCTCGTTTTTCAGCTTTTAATACAAGGTGATATCTTTCTAAATACTTCTCTTACTGAAGCGTTTTGTATAGCAATTCTTGAAGCAGTTTCATGTGGGTAAGTAGTCTAAAACTATGTTCACTGTCGAGGAGGAATTAAAATAATTGTAACTTTATTACTTACAACCGTTTTGATTGAAGGTATCATTTCTAAGGTTTGACTTGATAATTTCCAATAAATTGAGCATTGGGTTGATTGTTATAAATAAAAATAATATATTTGTAATATCCCAATGAGTAGAAAATCAGATTTTCTGACGTTTCGTGACTTAGTGCAAGCCACTTCTTCAGAGAATAAATAACCAAATTAAAATTAGTCCAAGTTTAAATAGTACAACGGAACAATGCAAGAATAATATTGGATCAATCAAAAACAGGTCTGAACAAGTTGATGTCATGTCATTTCTGTCAAGGTGATTCATAAGTGATATGTATGTAAATTTGTGTGTGTATGTATGTGTGCATGGTTTAAGAATGAAAACTTGTGTGACCTTTATGGTAGGAAAGGATAGTTTAAATTTGTAATATGATAGTGTGAAATTGTAAATACGATCAAACTGAATGGTTAGGATAGATGGTCCAAGTAGGATGTATGGTAAGGCCTTCTTTTCTATTGAGAGAAGTAGGATTAAGCACTATATGGAACGCCTCAGCTACCTTCCTTTCTGTTATGACCTTGATGTCTGGCTTTTCTATCACGCGACTTATCGACCAGTCAGAATACGACTTATACAATTTTCGCACTATGCCAAACCAATGACGTTCAACCGGTATGAGCAGTCTAGCGTCCTGATTGGTCCTATGCCTTCCTAGCCCTTCCACTTGAGTCCAGAACACAATACCAGCTTCTGTAATATGAATCGAATCGAATCAGATCGAATCGTTTATTTCAGACATACTCGGTTTATATATCAATCAGACAGACCAGAACGTACCATAAAATAGAAAATAACATGTGTACACAAATAAGCCAAAAAGTGGCTGTGAACGAGGGGGACAGTAATTAATAGACTGAGCATAGCCTAAGAATCGTAAATCGTACAATAATAAAATATAGGTCAAAATAAAGCTTATAATAAGAGGAATATAAATATACATAATCTAATTATTCAGTAGTTTTACAGTAAGAATATTTATAGAATATTAGTCCATTAATAGTCCTTGGGAGTTACCTGTAATTTAATCTTCACTGGGTTATAACACTTTCTTTGTAGTTAGGAAAGCCTTTTTGCAATATTTTGATATTTTTAAAATCGATTTGGTGGTTGTTGAAAATGGCATGAACTGCTATTGCCGATCTAATTTGAAGTTGGTTCAATTCTACAGGATTGTTAGGAGGTTTCTTTCTGAACCTAATATGTTCTTTGGCTCTAGTCAAGATTTTGCGGCATCACAATCGCTACAACCTAATTTGTAGACGCAGTTCTGTGTGGACATGAAAGGGATTTTTTCTTTCAGGCGAACTAAAGTATTACGTAGTGTGTTCGTTGTTTTGTAATATACTTTAATTCTGTGATGCTTTAAGATTCTTTGGATTTCTTCTGTTGTGCCATGACGGTATGGTAGAACTGCAGTACCAATCCATGGCATTTCATTCGAATCATTATTATAACGTAATAAACTGTTTTGTTTTAATATGCTTCTAATAATCTTCATAGAAAACGATTAAATTGTAAGATGCTGATTACATTCATTTGTTCTTTTTGTTTGTCTTCCTCTGATGTGATGATCTTGTTAGCTCTTCTAAAAAGATTTAAGGCTAGCGAGATCTTAGCACTGAAAGGATGTGCTGAATGAAAGTCAATATAACGAGGAAGACAAACAAAAAGAACAAATGAATGTATTCAGCATCTTACAATTTAATCGTTTTCTATGAAGATTATTAGAAGCATATTAAAACAAAACAGTTTATTACGTTATAATAATGATTCGAATGAAATGCCATGGATTGGTACTGCAGTTCTACCATACCGTCATGGCACAACAGAAGAAATCCAAAGAATCTTAAAGCATCACAGAATTAAAGTATATTACAAAACAACGAACACACTACGTAATACTTTAGTTCGCCTGAAAGAAAAAATCCCTTTCATGTCCACACAGAACTGCGTCTACAAATTAGGTTGTAGCGATTGTGATGCCGCAAAATCTTGACTAGAGCCAAAGAACATATTAGGTTCAGAAAGAAACCTCCTAACAATCCTGTAGAATTGAACCAACTTCAAATTAGATCGGCAATAGCAGTTCATGCCATTTTCAACAACCACCAAATCGATTTTAAAAATATCAAAATATTGCAAAAAGGCTTTCCTAACTACAAAGAAAGTGTTATAACCCAGTGAAGATTAAATTACAGGTAACTCCCAAGGACTATTAATGGACTAATATTCTATAAATATTCTTACTGTAAAACTACTGAATAATTAGATTATGTATATTTATATTCCTCTTATTATAAGCTTTATTTTGACCTATATTTTATTATTGTACGATTTACGATTCTTAGGCTATGCTCAGTCTATTAATTACTGTCCCCCTCGTTCACAGCCACTTTTTGGCTTATTTGTGTACACATGTTATTTTCTATTTTATGGTACGTTCTGGTCTGTCTGATTGATATATAAACCGAGTATGTCTGAAATAAACGATTCGATCTGATTCGATTCGATTCATATTACAGAAGCTGGTATTGTGTTCTGGACTCAAGTGGAAGGGCTAGGAAGGCATAGGACCAATCAGGACGCTAGACTGCTCATACCGGTTGAACGTCATTGGTTTGGCATAGTGCGAAAATTGTATAAGTCGTATTCTGACTGGTCGATAAGTCGCGTGATAGAAAAGCCAGACATCAAGGTCATAACAGAAAGGAAGGTAGCTGAGGCGTTCCATATAGTGCTTAATCCTACTTCTCTCAATAGAAAAGAAGGCCTTACCATACATCCTACTTGGACCATCTATCCTAACCATTCAGTTTGATCGTATTTACAATTTCACACTATCATATTACAAATTTAAACTATCCTTTCCTACCATAAAGGTCACACAAGTTTTCATTCTTAAACCATGCACACATACATACACACACAAATTTACATACATATCACTTATGAATCACCTTGACAGAAATGACATGACATCAACTTGTTCAGACCTGTTTTTGATTGATCCAATATTATTCTTGCATTGTTCCGTTGTACTATTTAAACTTGGACTAATTTTAATTTGGTTATTTATTCTCTGAAGAAGTGGCTTGCACTAAGTCACGAAACGTCAGAAAATCTGATTTTCTACTCATTGGGATATTACAAATATATTTTTATTTACGTTTTGATTGTAGTTATGACAAAAATTTGGAATCCGCTCAACGTTAAGACAATGAATAACCATCCATGGTCTATATTTCGCTTTTTGGAAGCCTTTGGCTCTTAAATAATTATTATACGTATAAGTGGTTGTAATTTAAAGTTTTTTTCACATATTTTTGTGAAACGGAATCTTTGTGATGGATTTAAAGTTAACGTTTAACTCATGAGGCCACAGATTCTAATATGCGTCACTCAGTTTGATCGAAGGATCGAATGGAGAGTACCTTTATCGATTATGCTATAATTGTGGCTTAAACTCAAGTGTAGGTACCTTGAACCAATGGCTAGTTTGTATTCGGTATGTAATTTAATTATATAGCAGTTTTGTACGATATTTTAAATGACGTCATTCATATCATCAGGAAGTTAGTTTTCAAATATCTGTGTTTTCGTAGCGTATATCTGAATCGGACATTCTTAAGAATGTTGTGTCTTATGACTGCAGATTATGAGCGAAGCCTATATTATCGATCGGATCAATGGCACGTAAAACACGCAAGGACGACCTAAATTCATGATTGGCCTTGCTTCGCTGTCTAGCCCAGCCAGTTGAGTCCAGAACACAAGTCTCAGCTTCTGAGTTATGAATCATTATATTTCAGACATACTCTGTTTATATACCAATCAAGCAAACCACATCGTACCATAAAATAGAAAACAAAATCTGTACAATATTTAACAAGTGAAATAAATACTGACTAATAGGGAGTGTCCATTTCATGTCCAAGGACACCATTAGACTTAACATGATAATTATTGGTATATTTTTCCGAATATCCTAACAAAGAAAAACTCGATAACCCTTAATACTACATATAATTGTTAATAAGGAACTATTCTCATTGGATATTACCTTTGTAATCATGGATATATTTTCTCTATAATTAAACAGTCTTCATTGTTCTACCAAAGCAGCACACACAGGCCTTCCCATAGCTGTCACTCCACCTACGATTGAAGAAATCCGCTTGACCAACAGACAAATTAAGAGTGGAAAAGCAACAGGACCTGATGACATATTAGCTGAAGGACTGTAGTCAGACATAGAGGCAATTGCAAACATGCTTCACGTTCTATTCAGGAAGATTTGAGAGGAAGAACAAGTGCCAACGATGAACCGGAAAGAAGGATATTTCATCAAGATACCATAAGAGATATCTAAACAAATGTGAGAGCTACAGAGGCATCACACTACTATCGGTAGCAGGAAAAGTTTTCAATAGAGTGTTGCTGAGCCGGATGAAAGACTCAATAGACGCACAGCTTACAGATTAACAGACTGGATTCTCTAATGATCGGTGGAACACAGGCCAGATCGCCAAACGCTGGATCATTGATGAACAATCAATCGAATGGAACTCTTCACTATACATCAAATTCCTTGACTATGAGAAAGCGATTGACAGTGTGGATAGGAGAACTTTACGGAATCTCCTTCGACACTGTTGTATCTAAGAAGATCATCAACATCATACGGAATTCATACTGCGGAATACAGTGGGAAGTCGTGCATGGAGGACAGATGACAGACCCATTTCAAGTGAGGACTGGAGTCAGACGAGACTGCAAACTCTCTTCCTTTCTGTTCCCTCTGGTGGTTGACTGGGTCATAAAGACTTCCACACCTGAGGGGGATCACAGAATACGATGGACAACTTGGATGTAACTAGATGATTTTGACTTGACAGGTGACCTATCCCTTCTATCGCATACACACGAACAAATGCAGGTGAAGGCAACTAGTGTAGCAGCAGCCTCTGCATCACTAGGTACAAACATAGACAAGGGAAGAAGCAACATCCTCAGATACAACACATAGAGCCTCAACCAAATCACACTTGATGGAGAGACTGTGGAAGAGGTGTACACTTTCAAGTACTTGGGCAGCATCATTGATGAACAAGGCGGATGTGATGCAGGTGTGAATGTAAGGATTATCAGAGGAAGGATGGCATCCCTACAGTTGAAGAACATATGGAACTCAAGACAACTGTCAACCAATATCAAATTCAGAATCTTCAACACGGACGTCAGAACAGTTTTAGTGTACGGAGCTGAAACTTGGAGATCAACTATAACTATCATCAAAATGGTGTGGGTCCTTGTGAACAATTGTGCATGCAAAACACTCCATATTCGATGACTGAATATCATCAGCAACGGTCTGCTGTGGAAGAGAACAGACAAGCTTCCAGCTGAAGAGGAGATTACGAGAAGACGTTGTATGTGTATCCCCCAACTGGTATAGGTTTATTCACTTATCAATGTCATATTGGTAAATATCTATTTCGATTTAATTTATTTTAAAATTTGGACTTTTCATATAACTTAGAACTCAAATGTGTACGATTGATTAATTGTAGATTTTCTTGTAAGATATGCCATAATTTATTCAGCTAATCTGTGTGTTCAGTAATTGTATTGAAAAATTTTCTTCAGCTTAATGGTTATCAGTACAGCTGTTGGGGGACTTCCGGAAGTTTTACCCGAGCATTTTATTAGACTTGCACCAGCAAACGCTTCAGAATTAGCAACTATTGTTGCAGATTCTATTATTCAAGTTCGGCGGCAACGCGAGGATTCGAAACTTACAACCCATGAACAAGAAGCTATGAATAATTTAACCTCAGACAAGGTAATTTTTATGCATGTATGAAAACTATTTGTTTTCCTTATAAATAAAACGGGTTTTTTGTCCATTAAACATGTTCAATATTCATCATATATCAACTAAAACCTGTTTGAGATTTTTAACCTTCATTGGGAGACGACTTTATATATACTTGAAAGTAACTGATTTCTTCTGGGCATATGATTTAAGTGAACGCGCTGACTAGTTTTACAACTATCAGTCACTAAACTATAGGTTACATCCTATTTCCCATCTACCTCATAGTTATCATACAAAAGTTGTATTTTAGTTCTTCCTGAACACTTACAACTGTATATTCACCATTTTATTATCCATAGTTGATGTTTCTGATTGTTAATTTGTCTTTTTTGAATATTTCTGTTAATCATGTTAAAAGAGAACTGTTTAATCTACGAGTGAAAAGATAACCACTCTTGATACAAAATATTTCATGTATTCATTCGCTTTTTAAAATTCATACTATGGCTTGTTATATCCGACGAACCTAACTAAAATTTTAAAATGAAATCGGTGAGGAAAATTAGTGGTAAACAGGGAAGTTTTTTAAAAAAAGTTGTTCAATACTGTAAATAAAATAATCTCGGCTCCTTTAAAGTACTAAAAAGTTCTTTATTGGTCCTAAGTATACTAAAACGAAAAATCCTGAAGCTGGGATTCGGTGGACCGGAATGATCTTTGTTGCCGAAATATCACATCAAAACTTGGCTCTTCAGGGTTCTGTTGTGTACACATACATATACATTATACAATAACAGCTTAGTGTTACTTGCAAGGTTTCCTATTTCCCTTTTAAAATTATCTGGATTCACTAACTCAGTGGAAAATAGACTGGCATGTAAGACGAAAAATACTCGGTTCAAGTTTCATTTTGGAATTCATTACTGGAACTCAGGTACTACATCCAACCGCAAGACTCAAGTGAGATAAATGCTCATTCTAGATTCCACTGCTAGCTCTTAATCAACATCAATAAAAACTAAGTGCTATATTCGTATACATAAACATCAGTCCTTTTTAAAAATGTTATTTACCTACTCATTTCACAAAAGGTGAACATATGTACATCACCTCCGAATCCTCTTTGTCGATTTTCATTGGTCGCCGATCCATCTACACACTTTGATGGTACGGAATGTAATTGTAATTCACTTAATGATCATTGTTGGCATATGCATAAATGGATTCGTAGTATGTATTGTTGGCCTCTAGTTGCTAAACGTACGGAAAAAGTCTATTGTGCTGCTATGTCTAAACCACCTGTTTCACTACACGACAGAATCTCAAGGTAAGAATATAAACTGAATTTCCAAGTGTTTCTGTGATATAACTTAATTGATTGTAATCTTCAGCTTTCAGAACAAAAGTAAATATAGCTCTCAATAGAGGGATTTTCATCCGTGAGATATTTTTAATCTAGATCTCATTATCAGACTACATTTTCCAACATACATTTATTACTAACTTCGTTTCATCTAGCGTGAATAATATGAATAAGGATGTTTAATTAGTAGCATGGATAGTATGTTTCTCAGTAGGTTGTAGTTTGTTTTGACAGTCATTTTATTGTACCGTAGTTTCTCAACTAATTAGTGTTATAAAGCCTGAAAATTAATCACTGTATAGAAATTAAATAGTTCAAGTGAACTTTGACTTCTTTCAGTCAAATGACGTTAATCTTCAGAAGGTAAATGGACGACTATTAAAAGATATGACTAAAGATATCAGATTGTTGTATTTGTACCAACTTGTTCACATGTGTTATTATTTTGTTCTGGAGCATTCAGTTATTCCTGTGCGAAGAATTAAAAAAAAACAGTTTTATCATACAAACACACTGACTTAAATTCTATTTATAAATCAGCAATGGAAAGAAGATTTAGCCAGTCCACCTATTAAAAAGTACAAATAAGCACATTTCAAGATAATAAAAATGTATTCCTTGTACAAAAAGTGGATCGTAGGAATTATGGTTCTATCTAGGTATCAAAAAGCCTTTTACTCATTCGTCTATAGTTTCTATCTTAAAAGTTTTAATTTACTCGTTTCACTTCATATAACTAAAGCTAGTGTTTGTAAATATCAACTGTTCTTCCGTAAATAATTTGATTCTTGTATATGATAACTTGGAATTATCTGATATTCTAATTTTATTAAATTAGCTCATTACAAAATCCATAACTTCGACATGTACTGTCATTTTGAAATAGATCACTAAGGTAGTCATAAAAATTGGTAATTCGTGCAAAAGAATAACCATAATGATTCTTCCATAACCTGCATTTTCACCTTCGATTACTCTATAACTTGAGTGTGACGGCGACATATTTTTTATGCGTTTGGAAAACATGGTCCTTCCAAGTTGAGGATGTTAGGCGACTATGTGTTCGATCGTCTGTCTCCGGTGGCAACAACATGTGAGTAATGTTGGAGTTCACAAATGTGTGTTCAAACCTAATGATGATGATTCACTTATTATCACCACTTCAAAACACTGACTTCAGTGGCTTAGACATGTCTCACGAATGTTACACAAGCAGCCTTTCCTTCTTGCGTTATTTACCAACGCTAGAACTAGGTGGGAAAATCGATGACACGGCGACTCAGAGGTTTAAGAAGTTATATTGTTCAGACTAGAAGCTAATAATGATAGTACTGTAGTTTCTTTTTCGCTCTTCATAAAATTAAAATGATCTTAATTGAGATAATGAACCTATCAGTTTTTCCACCATTCAGAACATGAAGGCATTATGCGGCTGTTTCTTTCTAGTATGGTGTTCCTCTGCACTGCACACCCACGACTCAGCACGCGGTACTCGAACCCAAAACACTGGGCCTCGTGTGCGAACGCTTAAAGTCTAAACAACTAAGCCGGCATCCAACGGTGTTAATGTTTAACTTCAACCAATCCACGACATCGCGTGACCATTCTCCATTGTTTTAGTGGGTAACTGCCTCACACCTGACATGGCTGAAGTCCACTGGTCACGGCTTCTCCACAACCCTATACTGATAAAATGATTTTCCTTGACTGGAAAAAGTTTTTGTTAGTTATATTTTTATTTGGATTAAATTTCTTATTAAATACTATTCTTGTTTACTCACTTGATTATACTACCCTTTTCCCCATTATTTCTTCAGAGTATATTCACTTCACTCGTTTGACACATAGTGTTTTCGGTGGCATATTGTATTAGAATCCATTACTTATCTAAATTTTTTAGGTTTAAGCAGTTTTCACAGACATTATCTCAATTATTTTTCAGGATTTACCAAACTGAACTAGTTTTGGTACTATGTTATCTAAATTGTTGGAATCAAATGTAAGATGCTTTACATTTGTGCATATATGTGTTTACCATTTGTTATGTTCTGGTTTACATCCTTTTAATTCAGATTGTACCAACTTGGTCCACTTACTGGGAAAATAACATGTTTTTCCGCTATTTTACACTGGCTTCTTCTTCAATTTATATCATGGCTTAGACCTGAACAGGTTTGTTAGTATACTTTGACAAACTGAGATGTAGTTATTTTTCTTTACTTTATTTGGGGAATTTTATCAGTTAATTCACTTCCTTTTGAGGAAATATGAGAATGAATGATAGTTTTATCACTGTTTTTTGAAAATTATTCATGCTAAAGCTTCTAAATGATCCAATAAAATTAAAATAACTAAGTTTAGATAAGTCAGAACTGGTTCCAGAAAATTTGTTAGCTATACGAATGCACCAAATGAAATCCAATCTGTAATTATTGTATAATAATTTACAGTGTATTAAGCAACATTATCTATGAATAATTATTTTTTGTTGTATAGATACCTTATACATTTTTTCACCTCTTGATCAATAAAAGACTGCATTGAAAGGCGTAGTGCCCGTAGCTGAGTGACGTAATTTTATTTGACGGTTATTTACTTGTAGCCGGACTCACTAAGGTAGGGTGGTGATTTTGGTAATTCGAATAATTCATTCAACAAAAGCTGAATACTGCCTTGGGTTTTACTACTTGGACAACTGATGACTTTGCACTTAAAAGTACACTGAATTACATTAATGAAAGTCGTGTAAACACTACATAACATGCAGATATTAGAGAAAAATGAATCTTTCATTTAAGGTAATTCATAACTCTATAATATTCACTGAGTAAGCTCTTTTCCTTTTATCTCTGTCTTTCTAAATACACTGATAGTAACTTAGTTATTAAATGAGCACTTCGACCCACGGACACAGTTGAATACTGTCAAAATGTTAGATAGAATACTAGCCAGGTCCCAGTCTCACTTCGAAATAAATTTTCAAAATAAGGTTAATTTAGATATTATGATAGTGTTGCAGAAATCCTTCAATATTTACAGATAGTATCTGTAGAGTAGACTATGGAGAAATGATTTATCTGAGAGCTGAAAAGCTTCTTCATGTTTATATTTTATATTCAAAAGTTCAAACGGTTTCTTCAAAATAGTTTTATTGTTATTTCAGTAGATATCAAAATGAGGTAAACAGTGATCTACTTAAGATAATGTGCTAAATAACACTAGTCAACTACTACTCTAATGATCACCACTGGATCAGCACTCGAGTAAGAAATAAGACCATGGTACATACATGAATGTATTGAAATTAGATTAACCCGGTTAGGTGCTCACAAATCAATTGTTATTTCTTGAACTAATTTTAGTAATTCACAGATAAAATCACCTTTTTCTAAACCCATTTATCTGAAATTCAGTTCTTTACGGTAATCTATTTTATTATTCTTTAAAATTCAGATAATCGATATAATGCCATCACTTGAAACACCTATAGAAGATTTTAGTGATAGTGAATGTGAGGATTTTTCTGTTGATTCACACAAATAATATCCACGTTTATTTCACTTGTATCAAACTTATAACTTTATAATTATCCTGTGCATAATTTTACTTTAAATGGAATTGTTTTATTTTTTACTTATTCGTTAGAACGTAATCATTATTCTTCTAAAGATTTAAACTCAAATTGTTTGTTGTTGTACTCTGGAATTTTACAATCAAAAAAAGGTTTTCATGTTTTATGTAATAGCCAAGATAATATCCCTACGAAATTCGCGCTAATGGTGTTATTTTCGATTAGAATTTTGGCTTATCACATAAGACATATAGTTCATTAAATTACATATATATAGGGCATTCATAGTTTATTGTTCTTGTTGTCAAGACCTATCCACTTTTCAAGTATATATATAATTACTTTTTGTAGTCTTAAAAATTATACACGATGATGTCCAATAACCGAGTCCCTTTAGCAAAAATAGTATGATTATAAAACAGTAGAATGAGAATGTAAACCTTGCCAGTACTAGTACATGTAAAATAACCATATAGACATACAATAAACATCCAAACTTATCTTAAGAAAGTATTAACCGATCATGAGTATAGTGCCATTTATACATGAATAACCAAATGATAGAACACATGATCTTTCTCTCACTAAATATAGTCGGTCCCGTCTTGTCATACTAACCCTCACATTCACATGCGAAGTTTCCTTAATGTTTAAAGTTGCAACATTTTCTTCCACGAAGTTCCGTATTCCTTCTCAATTCACAAATAACTCATGAAATCTGTGGACCCTGACTAACTATAGCCGATTATAATAAACCTATACTGCTGTGTGGTCTTTCTACCAGTTTTAAGAGGTTTTAATATCCTAAATTTATTAGCATTGGAATGTTTATCCTTTCTCACTTGTAGGCTTATTCATAGATTTTGCAACCCTAAACTCTTTTTCATATTCTTTGATAAGCTATTTTTCCTTACCATCTCAAACCGCATGTCATCTGGCCGGAATCTTATAATTTATGCCATGAGTTAACTTTGTGATATACTAAATGAATATATAACCCACAATATAGAAGCTTTAACTGTTTAATTTACTTGGAACATGGAACTAGTAGAGGCAGTGCATCCCAACAAGGTGTGCAGCGTGGTTAGGTTAAGGCAGTATTCAAACATACCACAAACATAAGATAGGCTAATATCGTAGGAGAAAGGAGGGTGGTGTTTCTGACCAGTAAACGTTTTACTTCCTTACGGCTTTTTATGATCTACCGGTATTTCACTGGTTGATGGTATTGTTAATTTCCTATGCCAATTACCACTTTGATTTGTGTTTGCAATTTTAAATTGGTTTCACATCCCACTGAGAAATCCTATTACGAGCTGAATTGAACGGTCACGATAAAAATGATACTGTGTTAGCTTTATGAAAGTAATGACAATAATTGCCATGAAATGAAAAGGCAACATTTCATTTGTGCATCCAGACTCAATATTTCCCTTACTACATTCAAGCGGTTTACATAATGTTTAGCATTTCAGCTCATTTGAATACCCTTCGTTCATACAGTTCTCTAAACATTCACTGCAGAGCTGCTGGCTTGTTTTTCATGAATTGTCCAAGTACACAAACCTAACAATAATAATTCCAAACAGCTTCAGCATGAAATTAACAGTACTATACAAATATAGGGTTATTGGGCGAAGTCGCCTTAAATGTAGTGATCTCATGCTATTTCTGGGGATAAGACAATGTTGTCCCCCATTGTGTTAGGCTTAGAGCTCCCTTAGGTATAATTGAGTTACTTGGGGAGACACTCAACGGAGTAATGGAAATTAGTACGGCAGTTCGAGACGTACCTGCAGTAACAAGTTGAAGGTAGCTATCAAGGGATTTGTGATGATGGACCCTTTTGCTGGTTGTAATAAATTACGAGAAGATTCGAAGCTATCATTTGGGCAGCTTCATGTAATTGCTTGGGTAGACATGGAAAGCTTGTTTATTGGTGTGGACATTGGTTATAATGTTTCTGAAAAGTTACCGAAACTGGCTGTGTGGGAAATTGATTCTGGAACAAACAAACTATACTGCCGATTAGAACGCATTAATGATTTTTAAAGGAGTCGAAAGGTTGTTGCTCCAGTCACTGCAAGTACATTGAGTAGACTTAGTCGATAAAGTGACGGAAAATGGTAGAGGTCCCGCATTTGTCGAAATCACTAACTCTATAGAGTCCCTTGCCAGAGTCGAAAGTAATGAGTTCGGACGGTCGGCAACCCTTCCCAGAAGAAGGCACAACGTGAAGGTGAGTCGTTATTTACAGTATGAGTAGTTCCGTAGTAAAACGCGAGTACAGCATGTGCTCTAATTATCGTGCTATTTAACAATGACTTTTGGTGCTGACTGATGGCCGCAAGCGAAAGCCGGGGGTATTTGCCTCTTTTCTATTAGACAAGAAAATAGGTCCACTTAATGCAGATCATCAAAGCGATGTGACGTTAGAGCGCGTAACGGCATGCCATTTTATGTTACTTAGTGACCCACAGATCAAGCCCAAACGACAGTCCTGTCGAGGAGTCATTCAAGATCGGAAGATGCAGAGGAAGCAAGGTATGCTTTTTCAATAACAGCCATAATATAATATTGCTAAATTGGCGTTGAGGAAAGACCAAGTGCCAATAGTAATGCAGATGGTAAGTAGTAGCAAAATAGAGAAGGCTACATATGAGCCTTTTGATGTGTGCTCATTAAAAAACACAATAAAATTGAAAGAGATTTGATCGTGAAAAGGAATACAGGAAATAAGCTCGCGAAATCTGTGGTGAACAATTAGATGAAAGTGTCTGCGTTTATTGAACTTACCATTAAATAGCTCCGACTCTGGCGGGTTTCTACTGTCGATTCGTTGTGATTTACGGGAGGACAACGGGTGGCGGACCGGAACTTAGGGGGACGGAGACACCAATTCGCCACTAAAACTACTATGATGGACCCATGTCATATTCTGAACTTACAAGGGGAATCGTAAATTTCATTTCTTCTAAGACTAACCGCGCAGGCACTGTATCACTGAGTTCACTGACGTATATTCAGTTGATAAGTCACTATCAATAGATGACACGACTGCTGTAGAGAAATGATCGTATTTTGTTAATTTTCATGTTGTTCCGATATCATGGAAAGGGGAACATAGATTACAGAGTTTGAGAGTTGGTTGTTTGCACGCCAAGTACACCCAGTGTTGAAAGTAAATATGCTGATGTTTACATTGGGATAACCGTTAGTAAAAAGGCCCATGGTTTCAGTCGCCTTCCTAACAGTGATTTCACTTCCCTTCATTTTACTGATGACAATTCTACATATCGTTTCATTGACATATCGTCGGTAGCCAAATTTCTGTACTCATACTTTCTTAGCATAGTTTATTGAGAAAACACGACAATAAATGTGGCTACCGTAGATGCACAATAACCTGAATTATACGAGGCAATCCCATCTGCGTTGCTACAACGTTAACTACATTTTTCACGTGCATAGCGTTGTATGTTTGTCTGTCAGTGGCCGTAAATTTGTGCTATTTCTTAAACTCATCTCTCAACTTCTTCAACCCTCTTTAAAATAACGTACTATGGCAGCCTTTCCTGTTTGACACTCTGTTGGTTGCCGCATGTCTCTCATCTATTTCATTACCTTCAACATTAATAGTCTAAAAGAAACAGCTGGCTGTAGTTAGGCTGGACCATGGGAGTAATAGCAGTTTGTAACGGCAACTCACCTGCTTGGCGTTGTAGCGGTGAATAAATCCTCAAAATCAATAGATCCGTAAGTCTTCGACATTGGATGCTGACCATATTCGTTTTAATGGACTCACCTACCTGATGGCACTCGGTAATGCATTGGATTGTATTCGCCAATATTTTATTTTTCGCTCTATTTCGGTGCCCGTAGAGATTTCATCGGTTCATAGAAAAGCACTTTGAATCTAACAGGCGTCCTTTGTTTGTTTCACTGCATTAATTTGCAGCATGTGCTTTGAAGCAAATGATAATAACTGTTAAATTCCAAATAACAGTAAGTCGTATCAGAGGCTTATTGTATTAGGTTCAGGATAAATATGCTATATTTTGTAGAGGTAAATAAATCCCCGAAATCAATGACTCTAAATCTTTAACATTTGATGCTGATCACATTGATTTTAATGAACTCACCTAGCTGAAGACGCTCGGTCATGCATCCGTACCAAATCACGGGTGGGAATGCCGTGCTCAACATCTACTGCAATCACTAGCCAGATTAGATCAGTCGATCCACGATATATTGATGGCCTATCAAATATATCTTCAAACCCTCTCACTTCTGTCTTTTGATTTCACTTTGCGGGTATGATTCATATTAGGTGTTACGGGTTAAAGAGTTGTCAAACTCCAAATACCTGTGGCATCTTCAGCGTAAGGCTTTTGGAAAAGTGGAGCGGAACTAACTCTTCTTCGTCCTGTGTTTATATGACATTAAAATAAGGCCTAAACATTGGTAATGGAATGTGTGGTGAACTTGACTGTCATACAAAAAACAATATCATTTATAATAATTACGTCTAAAACGCCTGAACGATACCGTGCATAGTAAGTTCTTTCTCCTAAAATTTCATCACACTGGCTTTAAGAGAAGCACCGTTATTCCCATTGCTCAGGGTTTTTCCCAAAATCCGGAAATTTGGCCCTGATGAGATGTACATAATTTGTCGGCTCAATTAGCTCTCAGCTAACTGTTACTTCCTAATTAAATGTATCGATCCAAATAATCAATAACTTTAAATCAAAGGTCCTTTTTATTTCAATGTATAATTACTGTTACAAAATTCGACTAAACGTTGTCCGCCACAACACAACTTCTATAAAGCGCGTTAGTTCTTACATTGAAAATGAGAGCATAAGTTTTCCAGATGATTGTGAACAGAAACGACCTTCCATATCTAATAGCAGTGCATCAGTGATGTCTATTTATGAACCTAGGTAAATTTGGCAGAAAACAAGTAAGATGTTTTTAATTATTTGCTTAGTCCCAGAGAACATGTTGCGTTTTTCCTCAAATGACTAGTGGAAAGTCGTTTGAAACACCTCAGAAGGCAGAGAATCCCAGAATTTGACTAATCTTAAATAGTTGAGGGCGTGTCTACAGTTCATTCTGGAGTTTTGCATCCCTAAATTTCCAGGTATCACCCCTGAGATTTGTGTGGGGAATTAGTTTAACTGAGTATATAAGAAGGCGCCTGAAAGTGCTTAGGATGCTATGTCATTAAAAGGTTACTTCTGAGATTCCTTACTCCTTGGGCTGTTTTCATGGTTCTCTTCGTGATACATACTTGTGTGTTATTATCACTGCGGAGTGAGTGAAAAAAAGTCCATTCCGTATTCTTAATAGGGGCCGAATAAATCAGTTAAAAATTATGTTGAAAGTTTTACTATCAGACTGGCCAAACGTGCTCTTCAGCGTTATCAGCGCAAGGTTTGCACAGTAAGCATTCTTGTCACAGCGTAAGACTTCAGATTATTGAACGTTAAAGCTTCTAGATACTTTTTAAGTTGAAATACCTCTAGAGGCGAGTTTTCTAACTCCTATGTTTAGTATGCATGGTGTTTTGGATGAATTACTTTAACTTTTAAGTGATAAACGGAATCTCTGACCTTGTCGATCGGTGATATTTATAGGAAGAGTACTAACTGTTCTGAACCTGTTCTTGTAAAACGTGGGTCCCGAAAATCGATCGCGATGATTAACATGTGTAGCACAAGACATGGAAGTTCTCCTAGTCTGTCCCATTACTCTCAGTGGATGAAATTAATCTGAACTGCAGCCCGACATCTAATTTCATCTTTCCAAAACTTCGTGGCAGAACTGATCACTTAATATTGTCAAAGAGAGGAAGGACATATGGAACAGCGTGATATATTAGCTGAAATTCATAAAAGCAATTGGAAAATGAAGGAAGCTAGCACAGTTCGCAGAGTGATAGAAGAATGTGTGGCATACCAGTGGTTTATGGTGAGTCCAGGATAATAACTGATGAGGCAAGTGCTC